ATGGCGCGCGTACCAAGCAAGAAATACATCTTTATAGACACTTCAACGTAGTGTTATTTACTTCGCAGGATATTAAAAAAAAATTCCAGTTGCTCCGTTGAAAATAATTGGAGCCCTCTACTTGATCGTTGCTTGGCCAGAGGGCTGCTTTGACGCCATTTAATTTTAAACTGCTTGTTCGTTCATAGTTTGGGGCAATGAAGTTTAAGGTTGAATTATTACAAACGTCTTTGAATAAATTGAACATATTATGTAGCCACTATCTGGATCCAACCGCGAGAAAAATTTCAACAATCAAGTCACTTACATGAATTTACGATCTTTGACGTGAACCGCACCAAACAAGCAAACAAGCGCAGATAGAAAATAAAATGAATAAAATTATATTTGCTCTATGGTCTTCGTTATATGGGCTTGGTTGTTTGCACAAAACTTTTTTCATGAAAATGAACTTTCTCTTTGAAAAGAAAATAAGTGGATTTAAAAATGAATTACTTTGTCATTGCCTGCAGTGTTCAAATTCAATTTTAAATGCAATTTGCATTACAGTACATGGAGAAAGTTATCTCTTCAGTCCACTTCCTTTGCTTTTAGAACCAAACTGTCAAAAATATATATTTTGCATTAATATGATCCTTTCGCCTTTGTAAGACTTAATTAACTTTTTCACCTTCTACAAACCATTGTGAACATAAAAAAAATCACTTATATGATCTGTTGGAAATTAAAATAACCATAGGATTTCGATTGACTTTCTTCTGTTATCAGTGTTATATCAGTAAGTTTCGGTTTAAAACAAAATACTAGAGTACAATAAATCGTACAGTTTTAACAAAAGAAATAACTAATGTAGCTTTATAGTATACATACCAAAATAAAGTAGTAGTAGTATAACATAGCTTAATACAGTAGGGCTTGGATTTCATAGATAAGCCACAAGTCTTTGGTTTTTTATTCGAAAACCGTCAAAAAAGTTGAAAGGTTTATTGAAGTCCGTAACAATCGACGACAAAGCGAAATTCTCTTTGATACCTTCCATTTGCCCCAATAGTTTTCCCGTAGGATTTCATAAGCAATCATAAAAGCTGTCTTTTTATAATATACTGAGTGGTCTGTGCGCAGCTAAAAAATATTGGTTAACTATATTTTCAGTTATGTTCGTTTGTTTTTTAGCTTATTTTTATCATCAAGGCAGAGGGAATAAGTTAAAAACTTCAGAGTTTGAATCTGTTCACGAACCCCGTCATAATAGAAAAGGGTTTGTTCAACTTCTAGAAAGACTTCACTGCGATAAGAAGATTTAAAACCCAGTCCGTGTACTTTAGATAATCCATTATCGCATCAGTCTTACCCGTTAAGTTTTTTTTATGTGCTGGTCTCGAAAACTGGATAGAGTGAGCTTTCTTGGGACATTAACAGCTCGAGATACCAAAGTCTTGCTCGCTCTCGATCTCCTAGTCGAAGTCAAATCTAAAGTTGGCTAATGTTGTGCGCGATGCAGCCAAAATCATTGGCAGGGTGTGGTACTCCAAGAAATGGCTTGTTCAGTAAGGATAGAGAAATACACTTCTAATCAGTACAGCCTTACGACTCCTTACGAACTCCACGCAAACACAACCACTACGTTTTATACAACCATACTTTTTGGGGGCCCAAACGAAAAACAAAAAACCCAGTTATTCCCTTATCTGGAAATCTCAATGATTCCACCAACTCGTAAATAGGAGCTGAATTTTATTTTTATCATTGGATGGTCGTGACTAAAGAGATTTTACTGTACAATAAATTGAACAATCGTTTGGAACAATTACAAAGTCATTTTGCTTAGCTTAGCTCTCTTGGCCTCTGAGATTCTCAAAGCGATACCTCGGGTTCCCACCAGTGTTTAATTAGAGAAATTATGAAAAACAAGAACATGATCGAAATAATAATTTCAACGACTTCGAGATCGACAAGATAAAAACCATTGTCTGCGTAATTTATAATTAAAAACTTAGTGAATACCTCGACAGGATATTGGAAACTAGATGGCTTACTTTTAGAGAACAGGACAATAAAGGAAATATTTGTATCGTGGATACATGATATAACATATGATAAATTCCAGTTTTTGTTCAAACTTTCTTGCGGAACAGTAAACTGTGTGTAATGGAGAGACTTCTTTAAAAAAAGTTATATCGTGCAATTTGTTGGAGATGGTTTTTAGAGCGAGCAACCTGCAGAGAGATTCAGCGTTTGAGGGTTTCGCTTTCAACAGATAATAAACAACAAAAATGTTGCACTGTTTGTGACTAAAGCTAGCATTGTTACCGTTAACTTAGAAATGTGTACTGAGTGTTTTTCTGCAAAAGATTTTAACCGCAGTTTCCTTCTGTCAGGGTGCATGTAAGCGTTGATAAATATATTTATATAAATTATATGTTGTTTGTTGCTTGCAGTGTTCCCATTCCACGAAACATTTTGCGAAAAGAAATTACGGAAAAATTGCACCTGAAATTTTCCTTCACAAAATAGTACTGATGCGATAACAATCCTATTTTTTGCATTACTTCTGAAAGGCAAAAACAAAATCGAACATACTGCTTATCTGATCTTACTGATATTGCAAACCATAAACATGTTTGTGATGTCAATTCTATCCAGATAGTTACTATGATGTAGTATTTACCTGTTAATCCTTGGGTTTGGGTACAAAATCAGTATCGTAATTTTCAACGATAACAAGCAGGATACATCCCGGCCAACGATTATGGGTCTCTTAAATTACGAATTCATCGATTATGAATTTGGCACAAAATGAAAAAAAGAAATACTCGTATTTACCTACACCTCTATTAATTACAGTTCGAGGTGCGTTTAAAAATTAATTAAGGCACCTGCAGATTTCATCTAATTTGGACTTTCTCACGCTACACAATAAAAACAAAAGTGAGCTATGTAAAGTCTGGTCAAACACAATTCGACTTGTAATTTTCTCTGTTAACGTCTGGAAATAAATCTTTGGCGGGGTGGGGGATCTGTGATGTTCATAAAAGATGTTAGAATATTTGATTCAAGACATAAACCTCAAGTAAAGAAATGAATTCAGTTTTTGTTCTCATAACCAGTTGGGGTTCCTAAAAGCAGAGATTGGACACTCGTCAGGACAAGAATGAATCGTCAATGATTAGGACAATATCTCTTTTCGTCTTTCTTCTTTGATATCCCTTAGCACTAGGAAGAATTCGCCTCTTAAGGAACGAGAAAGAGACTGGAGTCGAAATGTGTCAAACTCAGTTGTGGCGCTTATTTCATCTCGTTCAGTCCCGTCAAATGTTGGCAATTTTTTCTGGAGTTGAATTGTAAAAGACTGTATCAAAGTTCAGGAAAAGAAAAGAAAGTCGTTGTCTTGTGTTAACGTCCGCCACAAAACGTCATGTGAAATTAGGCGTTGTAACGTCGTAGTAGCGCAGTGACGGCAAAGAAATGTACAAAAAAGCGTGAGGCACGTGCAGAGTTGCTTTTTTGCCAATATAAACCTATTCCTTTTTGCGGTTCTCGTTGACGTCGCCGTCGTCGTTGACCTGAAACTCCCTATTGGCCCTAGTAACCGTCCCAGAAGTCTTTGCAACAGTTAACTAGGCTCAGTTTCCTCGCTTCTCAAGGTGATGTTACATGGGACGATTGGCAACGACGATTTTTTGCGCAAAACAGCATTACAATGTTAGAACAATCTTGCGACTATTTGAATCAATGTCGCAACAATGTTGCAACGCTGTGATGCGCTAGAAATCGTTGTTGCGAATCTTCCCGTGTAGCATCACCTTTAAGTGGCGAATGCGCCTTAAATCAAGCCCCATTTCAAATCAACCTTTAAGGTTACACGAGACCATTCGCAACAATGATTTTTAGCGCAACACAGCGTTGCAATATTGTTGCGACATTGATTTGAATAGTCACAACATTGTTCCAACATTGCAACGCTGTGTTGCGCTAAAAACGTCGTTGCGAATCGTACCGTGTAATATCACCTTTAGTAGGGTGCTCTTGAAGAAGATATGGCTAGTCCTCAGTCTTTCCTCAATAACGGTTCCCGCCAACCCTCACCTTGAGTGTGACAGAGGTTTAGGAAAAGACTCGTACCTTGTAAAACAAACTCAAATGACACTCTGAGATTTATGTCTGAAAAAAACCTACATGGGCTAACAGCTACCCTTTCGATATACTTCAACTAGTGAAATATCTTTTCTTTTATACACCTGAGGCTTCAAAAAAGGACCCCTTTCGCGTGGAACCTCCCCGTGTAGGGCGTAAAAGGGAACATACTCCCGGGCCATAATGACAATACATGCACGACTCCGCACTCGTGGAGATACCCCCAAGAATATATGTGACGACGGCAATACAAAAACTCATTTCAATTCAGTTTAGCTTACTTGCGAATTTCCTTTTAACTCTTGTGTTGGCATCTTTAGGCTTGCTTCTTTCAGGCATTCCATCCTCGTAATCCTTTCTTATAACCTGTAATGTGTCCAACCACAAAACACATCCGCGGCGCTCGATGCCCCTGCATGGCTACAGCGCTGTTTGATGTACTCTGTTGTTTTGCCAAATGCAGGTTGTGAAAAAATAATCAAAGAGCAGGTCATTTCTATATTGGCTGAAAATTCTGCTCGATGAATCGCTTTTAGTCTTGCAGAACGTGAAAACAAGCACGTGCAACAGCGCAATAAGCTAATTCGTGACACAGACCGGATGAGAGATCATTTAATAATTAACAATGTCCCTTGACTCATTAGCGGGTACCATAATTTCAAAGAATGCGTTACCCCACGGTCTTGAAAATAAAATGCTTTGAAAGTGGGAAATTTCTATGATTAAAAGTTGTCAAATGAAATAAAATTTTACTTCGTTCCATAATTTAAGAAGACAGTACGTTTTAAGCGCAAAAATTTTCAAGTTGGTTCTTGCACCCTCGCCGAGTTGATTGATTTGAGCATGCGTGATATTCGCGAAATAAACAAACGTCCATTCAAATCGATATAACCCGGTCAGGAAAGAATTGAATTGAAATGTTCTCAGTGTAAAGGTATTTAAACGCTGGCCTTGTTACGGTTGATTTTATCGCGTATGAACATGTCGCTTGGACAAGCTTTCGTGACTGCGTTCACTTATTTCACGTTAACAACTGTAATTGTCAACTCGGAGATCTTCACGGCTTTGTCCCATGTGCAACGACTGGTAAATATTGAAATGGAACTTTCGGACGCGCTAGAAGATTACATCGCCGAACAAGAACAGCGGTTAAACCGACTGAAATCTTTTGCTGAGGATGTAAGCGAAGCGATGCAACGAGCGAACACGGATAGAGATGGGTACATTGGACACCCTGTAAACACTTATTTAATGATCAAGCGACTCGTGAATGAGTGGTCAGAACATGTGAAGTCTATTCAAGAGGAAGGGGACGCTGAAGGTATTTATTACGATACTGCAAATTTATTGACTAAATTCAACAAAGCAATGTGCCAGTGTAAGGTATATTTAACAATAATAGTCAATGAATAGTCACTAGGCCATTACTTCAGAGCAAACGTTAGGACAGTTCGGAAATGCGTATTCTAGTAATGTAGCGCTCTGGCATTTCATTAACTTACATTGGATGAAATCCTGTGATGAAACCATTCAAATGAATCACCTTTGAAAGATCTTTTGGACAGTAACTATTTTTCTCTTTAAGTATTTTACAACGCAAAATTGGCATCTTGAACTTTACTACTGCGCACGTCAGTACATGGTGTACAGACAGTTTGACTGATAAGGGCAGCCGCTTTACGTGATCAGGTCAAAAGGATAACGCCCAGCTAAACATTGCAAAAAATTACAATACTGAAATCGAAAAGACAGCTTTGTGTTTTAAAACAGATGACAGCAGAAGAATCGTGCTTTCGTAAGTTAACGCTAAACAAGTGCAAGAAAATTTTAGTCTTGTAAGGTCACGGAAGTCAAAGAAAGAGCATTAACTCCATGACTTCAAAAATTAGGCCTGCCGTTCATATGTAGCATGATATGACATGTTAAAAAGACTTATTTTCAAGGTTTTTCCTTTTCTGTTTTATAATCCTAGAGAGTAAATATTATTGTCTAATGGCAGTGTACTATAAATTCCGTAATTACCTAACAACCTTCCAATTTCCGGTCAGAAATTTGAGGTTGTCGTTAACCACCTCTGTTCGCAGGGTAACGAAGACGTGTGAATATTTTTTGTTTCTCTCTATGGTTTGACATTTCACAAAGCTTTCTTCTTAAACTCCGCAAAGTACAGTTTTGTGAGTGTTGGATAATATTTGGTTATAAGTGGCTGTAAGTTCGAAAAAGCAATTTTACAATACGGCGAACGGGTCGGAAAAAAGTTGGTCTTCAAGGCTATGCCAAAACGAGAACGTCAGCGCGTGACTACCAGACGGCCGCAGAGAAAACAGAAAAAGAAAAACAACAAAAACAACAAAACTGGTGCCGTCTATAAACCGGTAATAACAAATGTCGAGCTCCAAAGAACCCTGGTCTTGGTTTTCGTCTTTTTCGTTAACGGGCTTGAGCCGAGAGCGTTTTGGTACATTGTCGCGGTTTCGTAGTTTAAGGACGTTTGAAGAGAACGAAAAAAGAAAATGAAAACTCCTGTGACTAAGGAGGATGCAAAGTAGAACGGCTTTAGCCCCGTTTATACGGAGAAAACTTGAAATTGTCCCAGGTAAAGGTCGATGCAGGGTCATCCGCCTACCCGAACTACCCTGGGCGAACCAAGTTCTCCTACATTTCTATACAAAACTTCGAAGCGTTTAGCCTGAATTTCATCCGATTACTTCGAGTCGTTAGAGGAGAAAACGACTCGAAGCAATCGGATGAAATTCAGGCTACGAACCGTTTAGATGAGAAACAAAACGTTGGCTCTACTCACCTGGCCGGGTCACCCTTTGTTGAGAAGGTCATCCTCCTAATCAGGCCATCCTTTCTCCATATCAACATTACCACTTTGGCTAGCTCGGCCGCGTCAACTTGGTCAATGCGAGACAATCAGAGCATGCGCGAGTGCTGTTGACTCGGGAAAAAGGGTGAACTTTTTTCTTATATTAACGCTCGCTTAGTACCATCATAGGAAGACCATTACTACATTCGAAGATTAACCTGAATATTGCAAATTTTTTAGGTCTTCTCATTGACAAGCTCGAAAACTATCAGCAACACTTCCCGGGAAAAGATGACTTAGAAGGCGCTATGGCCGCTATTAACCGACTTCAAGATGTGTACAGGCTAACGCCTTATGATTTCACTGGAGGTAAATACGGGGTTCGTTCGGACTCAGGCTCCTTTCTGTCGGCAATGGACGCGTACAAGTTTGGCCGCGGAGCGTTTGGGTCCGAAGACATGGAGAACACGCAGCGGTGGATGGCGGAGTCGCTAAGGCTTATGGATATGGAACCTGATAATCAGAAAGAAAAACCCAATCGGTTCTCTGTGCTTGATCATTTGGCTTGGTCCTCCTATCAGGTAATATTATCCCTGGGGTAAAGATGTGATGGATCATTCGGCTTAGTCCTCCTATTACGTAATATTATCCCTGGGGTAAAGTTGTGCTGTCCTCCTATAAGGTAATATTATCCCTGGGGTAAAGTTGTGCTGTCCTCCTATCTTGTAGTATTATCCCTGGGGTAAAGTTGTGATGGACCATTTGGCTTGGTCCTTGTATCAGGTAATGTGAATATCCCTGCAGTAAATTGGTGCTGTATCATTTATGAGGTAATATTATCCCTGGGGTAAAGTTGGAAAAACCCCTACCCTGTACCAAATTACATCGAATACTGTTCATCTAACTAAACAGTTATTTTTTTTTCTTTCTGTGTAGCTTGGAGACATAAGGAAAGCTGTAAATTATACAATTGCAGCATTGAAAGTTGGTAAGCTTTAACATGTATTTTGAATAAACGTAATTAGTAAGAATGGAAACTGGCCGGAGGCAAACCAGTTGGCTATCTACAAGCGTGACCGATCGAGGAGTAGGCCGAGGAGTAACCATAAACTGTAGCCAAATATGTTACCACTTAACTTGCCCATTGTTTCCTTTTAGCTTCGTTACAGTATCTGATTAGTTACCAGAAAATCGTAAGTCGGAGTCTTGCTGGTGACTTACCCCCTCCCCCCCAAACGCCTATATCGGGCGACAACGATTTGTGGATGCGTATTTTTTGGAAAAACTGAGGAAAAAATATCCGTCTTCAAAAATATCGGAAAAACTGTGGACAGGGCCTGAAACTGGCAGATCCAGACCTCAAGATAAGGGGAGGCCCGGTCATACAGTCCCTGGGTTAAGAGGTGGCCCTGTCTCAAATTTTTTTTTTTGTCCCTTCGGGCCCCAGTTTGGACTAAAAATAAGGGGGGGGGGGCTCCCCGGGCCCCTCCCCTGGACCCGCCACTGTGAAATGCATAACAGTGAAGGTCTTGGGGAAACGCAATACAGAGAATAGGCAAACTGATTGTTACGAGTGAACACATGGCAAGCTTTAACTCAGTATGGACTAGAAGTTGTGTCTGTTTTTCATTTCAGTTCCAAACCACGAGCGATCGATGACAAATCTCCGTATCTTCATGGAAGCACAAAAACTGTTAGGAGAGAAACGATCTGAGCAAAAGGAAACTAAAAAGCGCGAATTCAGTTACCTCGCTACAAAACTTCCGCAAACGACGCTAAAATCCTTTGACTGGAATGTGGAAAGACGCATATACAAAAAGCTGTGCCGAGGAGACCCTATGCCACGCGTGAGTAATAACACTCAGTCAAGCGAACTCATATTAAAACACGGGCGTAAATGAGGGCCGATTCTGTTTCTTTTCGTTGTTCTTCCAAACTAGAAAGTACGCTGTGACAAGGGTTATGCCACGCTTTTCGCCCTCTTTTTAAAAAGCTAAAACGGTTCTTCACGTCAATTCAATTCCATATTAAAATTATATTTAAAACATAATTTAGGCATTGAAAGTTTTTCCTGTTGTCTGTTGCTACAGATAGCAATAATGGAGATGGATTGAGCCCAACTTTTTCAAGTTTTAATGCTATGTTAATGCAAAAATCGCCTCCCTGATGCATTTTTTTTATCTAGATCTTTTTCATGACTCTAAAGGAGCATTTAGTGTGGGTAAAAGGCATTAAGTGACGGATTCAGCTTAGAATTGACCTAAAACAGCAATTTCCCAGCGACATAGCTCCTTTCACACTTATAGTGCCAAGAGTGACCAACATCAATTTTCTCCGAACAATATCCATATATAATCAAGAGAAAAGTTTATGAGAATTAACAAAATGATCATCTAAGGAATAATCCTGTGATCGATTATCAAACTCTCTCAACTTGTTCTTTAAGGAAATATATGGAGCTCAGTTTGGAGAATTTGCATTTGGAAATTGTGGCTTAAAGGGTTAAGCGCGCGATAAACGCGGTGTGGACGACAAGTTTTGCCGTCTAGAAGGTGTCGCTGAATCACGTCAAAGCTTTTCTTTCTTTTCAATTTGCTATCAAAACAAATGTTTCGCAGTTATCTATCATTAGCGGAAACAGCGTCTCTGTAGCAATCTTTTCTAGTTTAGTCAGGCCACACCTGACCTCCAGATATTAAACTATGCATTACTTACTCGTTCCAGGCTCCTCAAAGCTACTCGAGGCTGAAGTGTTTTTACAAGACAGGTCACCCTCTTTGTACCATCAAACGCTGTCCTATTGAAGTGGTCTTCACCAACCCCGATATTATGATTCTGCATAATATCATGAGTCACGCTGAAATCGAAAAAGTTATAAAGATAGCAGAACCTTTGGTGAGGAAAATAAACATTAAAGACATAAATGGTTTCTATTTTGCCAGATATTTGCTTCATCAGAAAAAGTTTCGGATCATTATGCGTTTCTGGGAAACTGCCCACCTACCCCTCCCCTAAGCCAACATTTTGCCCTAAGTGAGAAGTAAGTGTTAATGTTGGCTTAGGGGAGAGGTAGGTGGACAGTTTCCTAGAAACGTGTAGTGAAGTTTCATCCCTTTTTTATGGCCCTAAACGTTAACCTTCTTTTCTTCAGTTCACCGCATTTTGGATAAGTCTTACTAATTTTTGTTTTGCAGCTAAATAGGGCGACCGTTCATAACCCTGTCACAGGGAAGCTAGAGTTTGCAAGTTACAGAATAAGCAAAAGGTATGTCTTGATGTATACGGTGTTCTGTGTGACGGTGGTGATTATTAATAATGGTGATGGCGACGACGACGAATGATAATGATGATGATGATGATGATGATGATGATGATGACAATAACGCTAAAAATCTTACTAACGATTGATGATGACCATGAAGCTTAAAACGATAATGATCTCGAGAATGATGCTTATTCAGTCAGTGAGACAGACACAGACCTCTCGGTAAATAACGATCGGAGTTCTCCCGCAGCAGTCAAACATATGACCTTCTGGTTACTAGTTCAGATGCTCTACCACTGAGCTGGAGTTGAGCTAAATAAGACTCTTGGGAAAAAAAGGCCACTAAACTAGGTTCATGTGACAAAAGTTGGGCATACTACTCGAACTGGAATGTCGATAGGTGGTATATTCGCAATGATCATGTCTTGTTGACGCCCGCGGTAGTGACGAAGATGATGTTAAAGGTGATGATTTATGATAATGATGAGAATGAGTCTCGGAGAAGTCTTCTTCCAGTTAGCTTTACAGACGAGGACATTGACAATGAAGGCTTTGACCATGAGATCGCCAAAGCACTAAACTGTCTCCAGCCAACTTCAAACAAGGCATGATTTTATCTTTTAAAAGTTATATTACTGTAATTATCTACCTTCATTTTCAGCTGCTGGCTTAATGAAGGGCACGATGAGGTTATCGGGAGAGTTAACCGGAGAATGACAGCTTTGACGGGATTGAATTTGGAAACGGCAGAGGATTTCCAGGTTATTCCCTCTTTACTTGTTTCCTTTCCTTGTTTTTCTAGCGTGGCTATTAAACAGAACGTGTTGCAACAAAATTATCATTAAAAGCCGGGGAGAAGGGTGGGGTGGGGGGGGGGGACTTAATGGAGAGGAGGCTTATTACAAAGATTATGGTATAAAGAAACTTAATGATGAACTTAATGATCATTCGTACGTGAAATAAGCACCATTACCTAATGTTGTACGACATCTTGACACTTTGAACAAAAAGGCTACTCATAATTTTTAAACTCTAATCCGAAAATAGCGCCGTAGTGTTGTTTTGATGAGAACGCTGCTGTTTTCGAGGCATGTGCTCTAAGCAGTACATTCTTTATGTAATAGAACCGTATGGCTATGAGGTCTTAATGGTATCTTGGGTCATTCTCAGTCATTCGTTGGTAATTGTGTTGGCTGTTTTTTGCATAAGATTTGATACTTGTTCTTGTGTGAGTAAAGTTGTTACTTATCATCAATAGTGTTTATTTTTATTAGGTCCAGAATTATGGATTAGCCGGGCAGTATGATCCGCACTTCGACTTTTCGAAGGTAAGTTTCGTCACGAACTGCTTTATGTTTTTGTGATTAACATTTTGGTAGCCTGGCACCAGGTAGCTTCCCAAGCAGGGGTTCTTTTGGCTCGTCACGCAATCCCCTCCATTGGTTCGTTGAGCAGGGACGCGTGACATACCCCTTAGAACGTCTGCGTGGGAGGCTAGGCACCAGGCCCCTTGTTGGGGAGAAAAGGGAAAAAAATGGCGACCGTCTTACGTTTTCTCCTCACCGTCTCCTCGCGATTTTAGCCTTCTTCCCCCAAAACGGAGAGCCTGTTCACAGGCCAAGGCTTAGCTAATTTTTATGGCCAACACAAAAGAAATTATTTTTCCATGAGCTCGGACTCCTCTGTTCTTTAAGAGAAGAATTTTTGACATAACAAACAACTGTCTCAACGGTCGAATGGGGCTTTGATTGTTTAAAGGAAAGGGCGGGGCTGATTAAAATGGAGGGGCAACCGTCAAAATGCTAGGGGAGTAAGTCATATCCCCGTTGCATTTTAATGCGAAACCCTCTGCGTTATATTTTTAGATGAAAAAAATATAATACACAGGACAGTTTTTCATGCCAACATGAAAAGCTATCCAGTACAGTACGAACGGCAACAAAAGTCGTTCACACACCTCGAACATCATACCGGAGTGGTTGGCCGGTTGCATTCCTCGCTCCTACATATTTACTTCCCCGGCCTTACAGTGCGAATACTGTACCACTTCACACTGCAAAGAAGATTGGCAGAAACCTATCCGATATGTGACGATCGAGGTTCAAGATCGGTGCGGCGTAGCTTTGCTCCGTTGCAAAAATAGCGCCGAAATCACCGTTCTTTTGTGTGAAAAGAAACTCTACCCGGTATAATGTTCGCGTCGACGCAAGAGCTATCCGGCATAGTGTGAATAAAGCCTTGCTGTTCATGAATAAATTCAGTCATTCAAGTGTTGTCAAACATGGCTCTACAACTGAACTTAGTAAACAGGTTTAAAGGGGCTGTGTCACGACAGTCCAGTTCATTTTGTTTATTTTTTCAAATTACTCGCCTTCAATCGCTATGGAACTTAAAGTAAGCAAAGAAATCACATGTAAATGACAAAAGTATAGTGACTTTAAGAGACATTCGCCCTTTCGTAAGTCCTGACTTCGTTAGTAAACTTACTTGGCGTTTTTAACAATAATGCCATACCTTCGTGTCACATTTGCGTTGTTGAGCCTTTGCACTCTTTCGTCCAATCGGCCTAAACTCGTAGACTCCACGACCGGTTCACTTCTTCTTCATGAAAATCCTTGTCCGTAACGAAAGCGATACCTCTCCAAGATTTTTCTTCTGTAAATAAATCGGTCAAGCGATGTGTGGACATTGAAATAGCTGCTTCTGAATCGTTCGCTTCATCCCTAAACAAAATGTTTAATAGTTTTCTAAAAGGTTATGTTTTAACTGCATCCGAAACTGCTTGGTGCTGTATAACGTTGTGACTTGCAATTATTCGACGTGGCTGTTTCCATCTTGACTACAAACAAGCAATTCGAAACACGTCTTTGAAAAGCTAACATAATTAAAACCTTGGAGCTGTGTTATTGCCTCAACGCCACAATGGAATGCCTCGAAATCAAAAGAAGCGGTACAGTAGACGAGATGTATTTAAGGATCCCTTGAGGAATCCTTGCCATATATAAAATGGGCCGTTTATCGCCATTTAGGTCGTGGTTATGTGATTAATTCAACCGGCGTTGATTACGGAGTTCACAACAACGACGACGACACTGAAAACGACACCAGTAAAATGTATTTGGTCCTTTAACCTTCATTGCGATTATTCCAAATCACTTAACTTGTCATGTGTAGGCGAAATTTCCTGGAGTTGAATTGATGGAGACCTCATTCAAATTCAGTAAAAAAAAATAAACAAATAAAGGAAAACTGGGATTTCACGTCTTAGTCGTGCAGTGAAGGTAAAGAAATGTACCAAAAAATACGTAATGCGCCTTCAAAATGGGTGATTTCCTTATAAGCACTTTTGCCTTTTTGTCGTTCTTGTCGCTGTCGTCGTAATAGCGGCATAAACTTCCTGTATATCTCATAACCCAAGGCTTCAGGACGGTAGCCCTCATTTGGGTCCAAGTGGCCGGGGAGTGGCGCTGCCTGAATTGATTAACTACTCCCTTGTTTTTCGGTCGATCAATGCATAGCCTGTGTACAGACGTCCCGCCTCCCTCAGAAAAAAAATCGGGAGGGGGGACGTCTGTACACAGGCTAATCAATGCACTCAGTCCATAGGGCAAGGAGCTACCTTGAAAAACCAACATCGGGCGCTCATGGGCTCCGTTTCCCCCGGGTGGGTTACTGGAGTACGGTTTTGCTGGGTATGTGCCGCTAGTCTCTCACAACCCCTACGCCATTATAGTCAAGTCTGTGGCCAATGATAGACTTCGTATTAGTCACTTTTAAATGTAATTTTCGCGATCCCACCTTAGTCACTTTCCGTTTATGTATCTACCTTATAAAGCCTTTTATGAAGGTCACCCTGAAATGAATTAACACATTTTTTTCACTTAATGTAGTAAAAATCCCCACGGTTTGACATCCCTAATTACCGGAATTTTCTTACCGCCAAATCCCGAAATTGTGCGGCCCCATTCTAGTAGCTCTATTGAAAATGCAACCACTTTATAGTCAATCCAGTCGTATCCGTACACCCAAGAGAGAGCCTGTTTTTGTACAAACAAGCTGTTTTATCTTTTTTATTGCCTTATTTCTTTAAACGGATGATAGAAACCACTTAGGTGCCCCACCCCCTCCCAAAGCGATGCCTTACGTCAGCTCGGCCTTAGTTCCCGCTAAGTTTCTCCCGCGGGCTTGCCGCTTTCCGTATAACGTTTCTCAGATTGGTCTTTAGATCAGAAGTTAGGGTTTGCGGTGATGGTTAAATACTGGATTTAAACCATGTACTAAAACTTTCACGGTTATATTTATTCACTAGGACCTTGCGAATTCTTCACTGGGTCAGCTGGGAACTGGAAACAGAATCGCCACAGTTCTTCTCTATGTATGTAATATGCTTAGTTGTTTTCGTGTATAGAGCTTTTTTTTTTCAATCAAGCGACAAAAGTAGTTTTTTAGTTGGTTTTTGTGGCTATACCTTGTGATTGGCTGAACAAATATCGTGCCCTTTTCTCGGCTAATCAGAAATAAACCAAAACAATAATGGCTTGCTGACGTGAGTTTTCCCTTACTTTGCGTCGGCTAGATTAACTTGCTGCGACTTTCGATTGGTCCAGTTTTTCGCTTACTCGGTATTGTGATTGGCCAAAGTGACAACTTCGCCTTGGTTTTACGACAGTTGCTGAGAACTGTCCTCATTACGCAGATATCATTTTTTTATATTAGGGTTTTGTTCGTTTGTTTTTAATTGTATTTGCGTATTAATTGAATTAAGTAAATAAATAAATAAACTATTCTAAGTAGTAGTCACTATCAAAATCAAAGTAAAACATTTTGAACCAACCTTAGCTACTTCAGGTTATTTTCATCACTTGGTAAACAACGCAGACAACAATGGTGGATCATTTGCCCATCATTGTTACCCAATGTATTGCTTCTGTGAAATATCTCAGTGCTCGTAAAATGTCACTTGTCATACAAAAAAGTCTAATATAAAAAAAATAAGATGAGAATTCTCGTAAAGTGAAATAATGCTTTTTCTTACACCTTCATAACAATGGCCCTTATCAGCCATATTCTTAATTTTTTTGCACCTGATTTTATTTTTAGGCATTTTGTAGTTTGTATTTTGTAGCTGTTTAGCGGTTTATAATAAAAGCGTGGCTGAACTTTCTACCATTCAATTTTTTTTGGCAGTTTACTGATGTCGAGGCTGGTGGCGCAACAGTATTTCCTTATGTGGGTGCTAGAGTCAAGCCGAAAAAGGTAATTCCTACTCGGTAACTCGAAGTCTTTCAAGGACTTCGTCCACGAAGTTACTACCACCTTGTACAGCATAACAAACAGTACCACAGGAAAGTACTGCTCAGTAGCTTTCATTTGAATGGTCACACTTTAGGATTTCATCCACAAACTCAAAAGTTAGAACCACCTTGTACAGCATAATAAACAGTACCACAGGAAAGTACTGCTCAGTAGCTTTCATTTGAATGGTCTCACTTTAGGATTCCAAGTTAGAACCACCTTTCCAATGCCATTCAACATAATTCTTCCTTACACCAACACATCCCGCGTAAACCGCTTCAGGCGTCTTCTTGTTGCAGACAATTTTTGATTCTTCGTTTAATCGGACTGCTTAAATTGTATGTAACTCTTTAATTAAAATACAGAGCAAATATCTAACAAAGTACTTTTTTTTCATTCTAGGGAGATGCTGTATTTTGGTATAATTTACTTCGATCAGGAGAAGGAGATTTTAGAACCCGCCACGCCGGATGCCCTGTTTTAAAGGGCTGGAAATGGGGTAAGATTTGGTCGACCTACCCCTCCCCTAAGCCAACATTAACACTTTCTTCTTACTTAAGGCAAACTGTTGGCTTAGGGGAGGAGTAGGTGGGCTTTCCCAGAAACATGTAATGATCCCAAATTTGTTGACTAACTTTGTGGCTGGCGGTTTCCAAGACTACGGACCGCGAGAATTTCCTTATTTTCTTCAGGTTGAGTAGTCCCACGATCTCTTTCTTTCCGTTCCCTGGAGCGAGAGAGGAATGGGAAAAGAGAGATTATGGGAAGTAGGTTGGAGTAAAACGAACGAAAAACACGAGCGCGCGTGAGGTCTCGTCACGCGAAGGGGAGGGGGCGGGCGGGGAGTTAAGGGAGAGTGAAAATAAGGGAATACAAGAGGATGATAAGGGATTGATAGTCTTGCGGTTTTTAATTCATTGGAGTGCCGTGAAGAAACAATCGCATTCCAACGAAACTTAGACTATCCGTAGGCCCCAAATTTCATTGAGGTTATCGAGATCTATCCGGCAAACAGGCATATTTTGCCTTGCAACCGATGATACCATTCTTGGGACTAATGCTCTCACGGCATCTTTGCCGTTGAAACTGACAGAGAGTTGAGGCAAAAACGCAAATCTTCGTCCCCACAGACAATTTAAACAATTCGTTCTTCAGATTTCTACGGGAGAAGAAATTCGAGTGAAGTGTGTACTGATAGTCTGAGAAACAGCCGACATTTCACGACGCGACCACCGGTTTTCCCGCCAAATGACGTCTGCGCACCGTTTGCAGAAATTCCATACTGATTACGCGTCACTACCCAGATCTGGATAGTGCTTCTGATTGGTCGTGTCACGAGAGAAATCAGGAGCATTACCCAGATCTGGGTAGTGAACGTCAATGGTATGAAATTTCTGCAGTGGTTGCTTAGACGTCATTTCCCGGGTAGACCAGTGGTGGCGTCCAGCTGATATTTTAGGCTAGTGTACCGGTAATCGTGACTGCTGATTACTCAGAACTAAGTTTATATCTTTCTGTTTTTACTTCAGTTTCAAACAAGTGGATCCATGAGCATGGAAACGAACTCACGAGGCCTTGTTCCTTGTCACCTGATGAGTAAAATGCAAGGAGAAGTTTGAGAAGTTACCTAAGTTTTCAGTCCATAAACAACAGGGCAGGAAATCTTTTTGAGCTTTTAAAGCTTTTTAATCGTTTCTGCTGGTCAGTTTAAATTCGAATTGTGCTTGTAACAACGACAGATAAGTGTTGCAATGTGCCATATGCTTCGCAAATGTTCCGATTATTAAGGAGGCAAGAAAGTGTATTTTTATTTTACTTTCACAAACGAAAGACTAGAAAAACGCGCTAAGAATCGGTCTTATTTTAGATGGTTGCATCTATTTTTACAAATAAAGTAATATTTCACCCAACTAAACGAGTTGTTGCGTCTTAGATTTAAGGCAGTGTTGAAAGCAATTTTTCTCGCATCTTATTTCGCGAAAGGTACCCTGGGTGCCAGAGACTTTTCTAGCGCGGTTTCCGGTTTCTGTCTTTATAGTGACCCGCGCGGTTTTTCTCTACGGCCGAAGATGTGTCGGCCTTCGGCCAACCCCGAAAATTCCCGCCGCACGCGAGAAAAACCTCTGGTACTCAGGGTACGCAAAGGGGCACAGCAAGCTGTCTTGTAAATAGCTAGTTTTAACGAAAATCGGAGCCGAACATGCGGCTAAAATCGAACCTAACACACGTATAAAAAATTAACAACTCCCAGTTCTTATTTAGTTGATAGCAAAACACAATCAAATCGTTTTAGCATTAATTAACTTTATTTCTCGCATTTCAAGACGAGCCGAGTACTGTCGGCAATATTACTACACAATTCAAGGCGAATTAAGGGAACGAGGTATAAATTTTACACAAATTTTCTACGACATAACCAAGGTTATACTTCCATTTAATCCAGTCTCCCTTTTTAGCGCACAAAAAGCCCACAAAAAAACAAACAATTAAATAAAAGAATGTTTCTCTCACAGAGTGGTTTTCAAGTGAGTTACGACTGTCGATAGTAACAGGACAAAGAAATCAGACTGACCAATCAGATCACAAGCGAGTAAGCCAGCCAATCACAGTTCGGAATAAAACAAAGACCTAGTATCGAGTGTAGTAGAGTAGTGCCAAACACGGAAGAATGGCACCCGTTCACAAGCGCGGCAAAACAGAAACTCGGCGCCAAGCACAAGCGAGCTTTGCTGGCCGTTTTCTTAGGCTGGCCGCTGAAAAATCGAAAACATAATTTCACTTGGGACTCATTAGAAACCACTCCACGCTTGTAAGTCTACCTCCCTTGAAGGCAAAAAGGACAAAAAATAAAACTAACATTTTTTTCTCCGCTTAGCATGGAGAAGTTACACAAACAAACACATTTACCGTAAAAACCCAGAATTTGTTAACTAACAAAAAATAGTTAAACTCTTCCAAAACGTTAGAATGCCATTTATCCTATTTTTCTTTGAGAAGGCGTGCCTCAACCCAAATCCATTAAAATAGTTGGTGATATTATTTTCTGACTGAATTATCTAGGTTGGAATTTTGACGTACGACGCAGAAAACTTCACTTGACACAACTCAGACTATCAATAAACGCAACATTTTCACAGGCAATCTTTTTTGCTTCACTAACCTAAACACGAAAAGAAAATTGGAAAACCGCTGACGTAATTAATTTTAGTCTTAAGTATGTATTTGATTGGCAGTAAAACGGACATAAAATGCAAGATCAGAAACACGCTTTATCAGTTTAACCAGTTTTCCGAACATGCCTTTTCTGAACACCTCTCCCCTCACTGCAAATGTAACTCCTATATGTTTGTGCGGAACTGTCTCACAGATTGTCATAATTTATAAGCTAGTGGAATGTTCGGGATTTCCTTTATTTGATCTCCTTGCTTTTTCGTTTTCCGAATATCCCGCTACTTCGCTTTTCTGATTTCCTTTCTGGTGTTGATTCTTTTCCGTAGCTCTCCTTAATACGCCTGATCCACAGATTCATGTCATCCTGAGGGGAGATGGGAGGGGAAGTTGGTAAGCCTTTCAAATAGATAGAATCCAAAAACGTTTCAGTAAGTCCCTCCCGACCCCTCCCAACTAAACCGACCGACCCATTGCCCTTGCCACAACATTGATAAATTTAGAGTCTGTGAATGAAAAGTAGCACTTTCCTGTGGTACAGTGTATTATGCTGTACGAGGTGGTTCTAACTTTTGAGTCTGTGGATGAAATCCCAAATTGTGACCATTCAAATGAAAGCTACTGAGCAGTACTTTCCTGTGGTACTATTTATTACGCTGTACAAGGTGGTTCACAAGGTTTGGGTCTGAGGATCGACCTCCTTGAGTGTGACGAACTCTAATAATTATTTGAAAAATTATCGCGTGAACGTTCTTGGATAAATGTAATAGAAGAAATTCGAATGCTTACGTCATCTTTTGCTTGGAAGAGAAATTCTTGGCCAGTGTTTGACCTATAGCAACAACAACAACAAATTCGTTAATAAACTTTATCTAGACCGCCATTTTAGACAGTCTGCTAAAATATACGAGGATTTTAAACTAGAAAGTTTATAAGAGAGAAAAACAACTTAGTCATCTAATTTGAGCCTAGGATTTTACGATATTCTGACCACGAAACCATAAAATAATGAACTGAGCATAACTTACCTGAATCTAAAGACATTCTTTCTCTTTGTGTAATCAGTGGCTACTTCAACATAACTTTCTGCTGTTGGCATTGAATGCGCTGCTTCATGTTCCTGTTCCACAAAAAAAATTCGAGGTGTTACAGCGGCGTTCAGTTGTGAAAAATTTCGCTTCACTTAGGCTTTGCGCGAGCCACGTGATTTAATAGGCTGGGAAAATCGGCGCCTTCTATACTACGCTACGTGATTGGCTAAGAAAAAAACCCCGGTCATTTTCTCAACCAATCAGAGGCTCAGTTAATTTCAATGTCACACCAGAATAGGCCTGGTTCAAGAGGACGTATTTCACGGGGGCGAAGGATGTTTTACCTCCAACAAGCAACGGCACACAATACACTCGAGGTAAGAACGACGTTTGAGATAAGAAACTTACCGCGCGCGCTGTCTTCTGATCTTTATAAAAATGAAGGACCTGGTCTTGAAGTATAACATAGAATTGCTTCCATTGCCTGGGTAGAAAGAACAAAGAGATAATGATCAGCTAGACTGCAAGCAGTCTCACTTTTTCTTCAGATTTACTAAGGGGAGTGCACGCGCGCGCGAGCGTTGAGCGGAGAAGCCGAAGGACGCGAGAAACGAGGGCGGCAGCCCGAGAAGAAAAAGAGAGTCTCGCGCCTTCAATCACGCGCGTGGTCATTTGCGTGTCTCGGGCGTTTTGCTCGACGGACCAAGAAAAAAGAGAGACTGCTCGTAGTCTAATGATCAGCAACCACATGTTTCATCGTAAAATCACAAGGTAAGTGAAGGAAGGTGTTACCGGAAATAAGAACAGGAAATGAGACTGCACTTTTAGTTTACCGTCTAGCGGTCTACCGTAAACGCTAATGTTATGGTGGGATGACAAGCCAAGAAAGATTTGACGCAATTATTATAGTTATGGCCACTTCCCCAGCTGACGTAAACTATTCACCCACAAAGCCAAGATGTTCAAAATAAATAAATAAAAAGTAGATGTGTACTTACCTGATTGGGGCCTTTCTGTTGGGAGCGTCCATAGTTGGTTTACGATAAAGGTAACCTTCCATTTTGTCCGCAGTTACGCTCCCCTCAATATCTGCAAGAAATATAAGAACGCCGCGGGTCAATTTTCTGATGATCATTTAACTAGGCATTAATAATCTACTTCCGGGACTTGAGGGAAGGGTAATAAAGAAATAGTAGCCACAATAAGCTTGCTTACCTTTTTCCTCTGGTGTAGACTCAACCTGATAACAAACAAAAAGAACACACAAAAAAAGAGGGAACAGTTAAGACGGCTAAAGGTACTTCAAACAATAAAGGAGAAAGGCATAAACTGAATGTCCTAAAAAAATGAAAGTACTTTCCCGTGGTACTGTTTATTACGCTGAACAAGGTAGTTCAAGCTTTTTGAGTTCGTAGATAATATCCTAAAGTATTACCATTCAAATAAAAGCTACTGGGCAGTACTTTCATGTGCTACTGTTTATTATGCTGTACAAGGTGGTTTTAACTTTTGAGTCTGTGGATGAAATCCTAAAGTGTGACCATTCAAATAAAAGCTACTGAGCAGTACTTTCCTGTGGTACTGTTTATTATGCTGTAAAAGGTGGTTCTAACTTTTGAGTCTGAGAATGAAATCCTAAAGTGTGACCATTCAAATGAAAGCTACTGAGCAGTACTTTCATGTGGTACTGTTTATTATGCTGTACAAGGTGGTTATAACTTTTGAGTCTGCGGATGAAATCCTAAAGTGTGACCATTAAAAAGAAAGCTACTGAGCAGTACTTCCCTGTGGTACTGTTTATTATGCTGTACAAGGTGGTTCTAACTTTTGAGTCTGCGGATGAAATCCTAAAGTGTGACCATTCAAATGAAAGCTACTGAGCAGTACTTCCCTGTGGTACTGTTTATTATGCTGTACAAGGTGGTTCTAACTTTTGAGTCTGTGGATGAAATCCTAAAGTGTGACCATTCAAATGAAAGCTACCGAGCAGTACTTTCCTGTGGTACTGTTTATTATGCTGTAACAACTCACCCCTGCAGCCACAGCAGACACGACTACTTCCTCTGCCTTCTCTCTCTCCCTCTCCTCCCTTCTCTTCCTTGCTTCCTCTTCCTGTCGTCTTCTTAACTCTTCCTCTTCTTGCTGACGGATCCTCTCCAGTTGCTCCTGCCTTTCTCGTTCTTCTCTCTCCACTCTTTCCCTTTCTTCCCGTTCGCGGCGCTCTTGCTCCATCTTGCGGCGTTTTCCCTCGCGAAGCTCGAACTGAAAGACCAAAAAAATCGAATCTTTAACGATCTTCCAGTCTCTTCTCCTGGAAAAGGTCACATAGGTACAGCTGCTCCCTAAAATGTGGGTGTGGCAACTAACTGATGAATCTTTCACAAAAGAAGAAGCGGTAATTTAATTTTCAAAAAAGGACCTTATTCGCTCAAAGTTTGGCTTTGTTTAGAAGTATATCCAAGCATAGCAGCCATTAAATCAACAAAACCCGCACAAAAAAAATTATGAGGAACCGGTTGCTTAGCAGCGCACATCGTACCCATAACGCAGTTTTTTTAATGTTCTTGAGTTGAGATCTGATTCGAGTTTTTGAATCAGTGTTCGTTCGAAGATAAATAGAAATTACAAAAATGTCGTTACTTTACCGTGGTTAAGCGTTCCAGGGCAAGGAACCTCTCTTCTTGTGTGTTAACAAGTTTCTCAAAGTTGCTGTGCTTCTCTAGAAGTTGTTCCACTTCATTAAGATCGTCCTGGGCAAAATGAAAAAAAATCAAGAAATAAGGATTTACCATTATACGAATCAAACAACAAGAGCACACAACAAATCAAAACTTATGTAAACATGATAAAAGTATGTGTGTCTTCAAGAGTTACAAAAGGAGGAAAGCAAAAATATTTCGGATATTCTACAATTAAGTTAATTACAGGGTCAAAAATAACGATCATGTCGACTTACTCCGAGGTTCTCGTTTTTCAGGTACGGTTCCTGGGCGATCATCCATCCTTCGGCCACGTGAGCATCACGTGCAAACTGCATGACTTCGAGGACTGTTGGGCAAACGAACACGTGAGCATACAAGATCACTAGAACTTTTTCTCAAAGATTGGACAGACGTAAATTGTTCATAAGATAGACAAGCTGGGCATTCAAGGACTCAATGGTTGGTTTGTTTCTTGTGTTGCGCGTATTTTGTGTTTGTCCACAGCTAGACGTCAGTGAGAAAATAAGTGTTACTGTAATCAACAACTACCGCCTAAGGACCTACGCGCATTTTCCCGCCATTGGAATCAGCTGCACGATTTCCCGCGCTTGGAGGAAGTTGCACGTCTTCTCGTGCTCGACTCTGCTTTTGTCTCAGTTCCCATTGGTTCACTGGGTTATCGACATTTAATCTGATTGGTTAGAAGAATTACGTTGCCACTAGTTTCATGGTATTACTCGGACAGATCACAGTAACAAACCAAGCTGTCCTACCTAACTGCAGATGTTCCCATCTCTTGTCCCATTCAAGTGAGAGCTCGTCTTTGTGTCTGTTCAACATGTCAAGTTTCTCATTAATCTGCAATTAGTAAGCTATGATAAGTCTCCCAGTCGAGTCAAGTGAAACCAAGTAAATTGCTTTTTTAAAACAGGTCATGGAAAAGACCATATGAAGTAGGGATATGCAAAACGTCAAGACAAAAATAAATATTTCTGACATGAAAGAAACTTTTACCTCTGGAGTGGCGTAGTGGTTTCTTGCGATCAAATCTTTTCCCATCTTCACTACGTCCTGGAAACTGTCCTCGCGAGCATCGATTTCAACTTTCCTGGTCTGATGTTGTTCAATCAATACCTCTACTCCAGGTACATCCCTTAAAGGAACGAACAAGCACGTAAATATTTAAACGACAACTTACACTTCCCCTAAACTTTAAAAACTAGGACGAAACTGAGGATAACTTTCTGGGACTGTTAAAAGAGCCAGGTGAAAAATTGGCAGATGGCTTATCGGCCCGCCCCCAATAACGATCCCAGAAAAGTGGCGGGTGGTAGAACAGTGATACTCACTTTGCTTTCTCGTAAGTTAATATCTGTTTTAACATGTCGTTCATCCACAACATCTGGTCTTGAACAGCTAACAGGAATCGGTACAAGTCGTCCGCATCGTGCAGTCGCTCAGTGCGTTGTTTCACGCGCCAGTTTAGTCGTTTCCATGCATCAACGACCTCATCTTCCTTAGCCTGGATTTCTTTGGCTTTGTCACCTGCGTACGAGCCCTGGAGACGATTAGCCTCCTCCTGGATCGCAGAGACCTGAAAATAAAAAAAAAAAAGTCTCGATATCAAGATGAGGCAGAATTCAAAGCCACCGAAGTAATTCAGTAGTAACCGCAAAACTACAGCTATAAAAAGTTTAAGGTTCAAGCATGCTAAAAGGGACCACCCACCCCTGTTCATGTTTAGCCAAAGTAAAATGTCACACTTGACCGGGCTTTACATAGTTGCCATGAGGAAATCAGAATGCGATGCCTTTTTTGAGGTGATATACTAACCGTATCGTCGGCTCCCCTTTAATATTTGTGTCAGAGCAAATTAGGTTAAAGGTTTACTGTTCTAAGTAAACGGTTAGTAGCTCTTCTTTTCAGCTTGGCTATATTAATACATTATCAACCTACTGTTTTACCTGGTTGCCAAGTGGTGCTAAATCAGCCTCGTATCCTTGGTGAACCACTTGCAGTTGGTGCAGGCTGTTTAGATCGCGACCAAGATCATCTGTAAGGAGGTTTTCTTTCTCGTGAATCATGGCGAGAACTTCTTTGGCGTCATGGAAGAACTTATGTAGTTCACGAGCGGTCTCTAACAACTGAAATTAAAATTAAATAAAACGTTTTTCAGTGGGGCACGTTTTTGTGACAAAGATTGGCGACTAATTCTACCTTTAATCTTAATAAATTTCGCGCGCAGCTAATTTCAAGTTTTGGAGAGAAATCGTCAAACAAAATCTATACTCGTGAAAATTTAGCTCCCGAATTTTCGGGAAATTGAGTACGCGAGAGAAAAAGCACCAGTTAGGTGGTACCCTGAAAGATTATTTTCTTTTCTCGAAACCAAAAGGTCAATACGAAAACAACTATTTTTCTTGAGAAAAACATATTCAAACCAGTTTTCGATTTTGTCTGGTTAATCCCAACACAGACAAACCGACGAACCAATTAAAAGAAGGCATGTGTGCGTGGCCGGCTATGCCGGCGAAAAGCGCGGGAAAACGTTAGGGTTAGGGTTAGGGTTAGGGTTAGACTGGATTTTTTCTCATTGGCTGAAAAAGGTGTCAGGTTATTAGCCTAAGCCAATCACAAAGCATATTATGTTTGTTTACCGTTGTCCTCGTTTCAATGAGTTCCAGAAGGTTAGACCAGGACTCGTTGATCTGATCTTTCCACTCGGCGATAGTTGCCGCGTCAGTGTGACCGGTGCCAATAAGCTGATCACACACAGCATTCGTGGCTGCCACCTTTTCCGATCCAGTATTGGTGGTGTCTCGTGCGAAATCGCGGAATTTCTCGATGAGCAGCTGTTGAAAAGTTAATAATAAATGAGGATTATTTTAAGTTACAATGGAATCTCAGTTTCGAACACTCTTTGGGATAGAAGCTTGATTCGACATACAGAGAGAATGGAATAAATTAATACGGGGTAAAATTACAAACTTGAATAGGGAAGTCAGTTTTTACTCGAATTATTAGGAGGTTCTATAAACTTCGGGTTCGAGAAGTCGATATTCCACTGTTTAGTGGAGATTAGGAACAAACCCTTAGCAAACAAGCAAAACGATGGGAAAATGCTGATTTCAACGCCCGACAAAAGCGTAACCACGGTGGACGCGATGACAAAAAAGATCGAATACCAAGTCCAAGTCGTGTATGCCCGACAACTTTCTGGTATTCACAGGCGTTTTTCTGGCTACCACGCCACGATATTTTAAAACTTCTTTTTGGCATTTTTCAAATCGTTTTTTAAGTCACGCAACAAAATTGCATGCGTGGAGCCGGACTTATCAGTCAAACCCTGGATATCGTCCGACGGTATTGACTGTCTGAGACACACGGTGGCAAAAAAATCACCCCTTAATAAAATCAATTATTTAGGATAAAGCTCTAATCAGTACGTCTTTCAAATTACGTATCTGCACAAGGCAAAAAAAAAAAAAAAAATAGTTAAGACTGAAAAGTGTACCTCCACTTGGGCGAGGTCTTGTCCAATATCTTGAGAACCTGCCACAACTTCTTTCTCCGCAATCCACTGTTCCAGATCATCTATTTCACCCTGCAGCTGGTAAAGCTTGAGAGTCTCGTCCAACTTGCCGCGCCTTTCCTCAGCCAAATCCTTGAGTCCTTCGTATAGCTTGTCTACCTGGGCTTGACGGATCTTAACCGTCTCGCTAAAAAAGCAAGGACAAAGAATAAGTTTCAGCTTTGTATTTACGTCAAATACGAAAAACGTGAGTACGAGGTTATGGGAGTTGTAAAAAGCTGCTTTTCTAAGGAGAGGTCAAACAATTTTCTGAAACTCGTTACAATTGCCGAACGGACACAAATGCAACCCTAACTGCTGAAACGTGTGTTATTTTGCCACAAAATAAACTACTGGGAGAATGGGTACTAACTTTCGGCGCAAAGATTTCTGGGATAGGTTGAGTGAAAAATACAAGCAATGATTGGTCAATGGATGACTTTGGATACCATCGACCAATCATAAGTAACGCCTGTCCACCCATCTGATCCACAAAATCCTTGTGTCGGTCTAGAAAAACCTCGGCTATGCCTCGTTTTTTCAACCCTTCTAAGTGTAGGGATACAGGTGAAACACTCCTCCTCGTGTTGATGTATTACTTCTCAATGCTTAGATACCGGAAAAAACAGTCCCTTTCGTGGCTGACATATTACTTCCGGGATTTTACATTTTAGATGAAAAAAAAAAAACGCCTTCTCGTGTTTGACATATTGTTCTCGGTGTTTGGATACCACATAAAACACTCTTTTTCGTGTCTGATATACTTATTACTGGTGATTGGAAATCAGATGAAACTCTCGTATTTGATGTACGACTTTATGGTGTTTCTATACCACATAAAACACTCCTGCTCGTGTTTGATATACTACTTACCTCTCTGGGTGCTCGCTTTCCACGAGTGCCTTAGCAGTATCGCCAAGTTCATTAACAGTCTCAGAGTAATCAGCAATAGCAGCTTCTAATGTCTCGTGTTTCTTAAGCATTGCACTGGCGCTTGCCTCGTCCTTTCCTCGTTCATCACCCATCATATTCAGTTCTTGTTCACTCATCCAAGATTCAGCTTCCGCGGCATCGTAGTAGTACTGAAAACAACGGAGATATTTTGTTTTAAAATTAAAGTACTTCCACGAGACCATAGGGAATATAGAATAACACGTTTCGGAGATAAATTTCGACTCGAAATAGTTGAATAGCAAAAAGCTCATGAACGGAATAACTTTCCTTTAACGTTCGAAGTTACATTCGAGAAGGTGGTAAAAAGTGAAAGCTACTGAGCAGTAGTTTTCTATGTTACTATTTGTTTTGCACTCCCACAAACTAAATATAATATCGGATGTTTTCCGACTTTATTTTCACTAAAGCAAGTTACAAAATCACCAAGGACTCAAGAACCAATCAAACCTGTTTAGCCTGGAGTGACAGGTCGAGCTGAGCTTTGTAAGCATCCGACAGTTTCTTGAGGTTGTCATACTTCTCCTGCAGGTCATCTATCCTGGCGGCCACTTGTTCCGACTCTGGATGACCAGACTCCACAAGATCTTGTCCTCGTTTGCAGATGTTGTCTTTGTGAGCTTCATGAATCTTAATCTCCGCGCACAAGGTCTGCCAAGAAACGGTTATAAGTAAGACTTCCCTTTACCAACAGCGCAATCAACCAAAAATCCAGCAATAAGCGTTCTATGGGGTTTATTCCAAAGCCTGTTCATCGTACCGAAAAATAGTTGCAAGGGAGGGGAGGGAGCTTATTCAGTAGTTTTTGTACTTAATGTACCACTGTTTGCTATCTTCTGTGAGTTTTGTTTTAAGGACTAGAGTGTCTGAACACAATGCCTATGACTTTGATCTAATGCGACAACGAGAATGCAACGAAGGTAAACGAAAATGCACGAAAATCTACCGAGATTACCCTTTCGTAGCAGTTTGTTGCTGTATATATTCTTGTGCCGTAGATGCAACTAGTCACATCGATCCGATGCATTACCAATTTGTGCTATTGCTGTTTCCATTTTAGTATGACATTTCATCCCTATTATATCTTACCTGGAGTTTCTTCTGTAGTTTCTGTACTTCAAACAAGTTGTTTCCGTAGTTGGTTGACTGGAGCATTGGTTCCTTTTCTTTTATCCAGGCCTAAAACACAACAACATGAGTACCATCAAAAACGAGATCTGACCACTAAAAAACAGAGACCTGTGCTTTCAATTTGTAGCAATCGCACAGACAGGGTACTTCGCTGGGAAAGTTCCTCAGGTTTTTTCGTATCAATTGTTTTACTAGACCAGCGTTTCAGGTGAGGTCTGAAGTAGAGTCAGGGTTTCAGAACCCATGTCTGCACCAAGTCGATCTCTTTCTATCAGTAATACGGGGTTAAGAATTGTCAAGAATCCTAAACCAAGCTTAGCGAAAAGATACAAGCTGTTGACGCAGTCGCGAGAGACTAGCTTGTTTCGTTCGGAGTAGTACGGTAGCTCTTCCTGACCTCTGTTTTCATTGGCCTAAAAAAGCAGTAGCTTCTTTTGTTTTTAAGGATAGGGGTATTGTTTCGTTCTCCAATCATAGACCATGTCTGGAGAGCTACTGACCTTCTCTTCGCTGGAAGGATTTTGAATCTAATTTCCCGCTAAAATGAAAGTCATGGGGCGATGCTTTACCGATTGCTGCAAGCTAAAAAGACCCTTTGAACGTGGCAAAACAAAACGGCGCTACTAAAAAGGACTCTGTGAAAGTCCAGCCGTACCCACCACCAAAGTAACCTCCCCGGATCATCAGTTCATTTACAGAGTATTAATATCCTCACCTCTTCATCATCACAGTCTCGGTTGAACTGGAAGTAGCCAAGGGTACGTTCAAGATCTACGCCCTTCTCAGCCAAAGGCGCAGCCATTGCTTCAACCCTACAACAATCAAGCAAAAGGAGTTACGTTAACCCGTTCGCTTCCAGAGTAAATGATGGTGTCTTGTAAGTACAGTTACTAAAAAGTCTGTCTCATGGCTGATGACAAACCTCTCTTCCATAACGATGCGCGTTTCTTCCACAGCATTGGGATCGAAGTGACCGGCATCCACTAGATCTTGAGCTTGGCTGTTAAGCTGTTGCATTCGCTCTCTCCTGACTACAATTTCCTTCTCCATCATCTGAAAACATCACCGATAAGTTTCACTGTTACTAGAACGTTATGCGGTGCACTTTAGAGCGGTTTTCATTTGAGTGTCGAAAAGTAATTGGTTTTGCACTTTCTACACGATGCGATTGGCTTAAAAGATTCGCGCCACCTTTTCATCCAATCAGAAGTAAAACCAAAGCCAATTGCGACGCGCCCGCATGCATTTTCCCGCGCTTTGCGTCAGCCACATGTAATTACTTCGAGTTTTGATTGGTTCAATGTATTGTCTGTGTCCTACGTGATTGGCCAGAGTAATTACTTTGGTTTTGGTTTTACGACACTCAAACGAAAACCACTCTAATCAAGTGTTTATTCGGTTAAGCTGGATTTCCACCGTCGCGTAATTTTCACGTGCGCACGTAAAGTTTACGCGCGCAAATAAAATAAGCCGCGCATAAGGGTGGATTTCGGCGGTCGCGTAATTTATACGTAAGTACGCGCGTCAGTACAACAGAGACAATGGATAAAAATTCAAGCGTAAACGTTAAAGTTGAGGGAGCTTCAACCTTTACGTTAAGCGCGACCTTTCATGCATTTCCTCTGTTGTGCACGTTAAAATTATGCAATGGTGGAAATCCACTCTCAGACTACGAGTAAGGTAGCATGCCCGCAGACGTCCTTTGGGGTTCGTTTGTCACGCATTCATTTCTGAATGCGTGACAAACAAACCCTAAAGGACGTCTGCGGGGAGGCTACGAGTAAGGCGCAAACGCGCGGAGAATCCCCACAAGGAGACGCGACGTGTATGCGAGAAAAAAGGGACCATAGAAACTAAAAAACGGCGATTGGCTTTATTTGATGCTCTCGCGATGGAAAAATTTTGATTGGCTCTTTCTTAAGGCAAAAGCCGCTGTCAACAGTAGAGCTAGCAGCCATTTGGTTTCAGTTGGTAGATATTGCTTACAGACTTCAGGTATGTCCCGAAATAGAGTCGCTAAAATGTTACAGCCTTTTGGAGAATCCGTTCTTGGGAATGTCACGAATACTTCTCCTTGTGTTGCGTGACAACACAAAGAACGGTTGGGTGTGACACACAGACACACCCACCCACAGACAAAAAATAATGAAACAATACTTATATGTCTTAAAATTTTCTTTTTCATACATTTATTTTTCCTTTAGAATACCTTATGCTTTTGATAGAGCCTGGTGGCCGTTGTCAGATCAGTCGCCCTCTCGTGTGTGACGGCTGTCTGTTCGATCTCTGTGAACCATTCCTGTATGTTCTTTACACCGGTGTTAAACTCCTCTTGTTTTTGTGCATCTCCAAGTTTGGTTCCCTTTTGTGTGGAGGCATCTGCAAGCTCCTGCCATTTGACATTCAGTTTCTCTAGACGCTCCTCGATTTCAGGCCTGTTTTCTGGCTTCTCTTCTGCGATGTTGTTACCAGACTGCAAGAGGAAAGAAATTTAATTTAGCAGAGGTCGTAAAATCGTAGCTGGGGTTTGAAACTCGTGTTATGGACAATAGCCACTTCTGTGGGTTTCCTGTGTGAATGAGCGCACGCACAGGAAGTCAAAGGAGATGTAAATTTGAGTCTGAGGATGAAATCCTAAAGTGTGACCATCCAAATGAAAACTACTGAGTAGTACTTTCCTGTGGTACTGTTTATTATGCTGTACAAGGTGGTTCTAACTTTTGAGTCTGTGGATGAAATCCTAAAGTGAGACCATTCAAATGAAAGCTACTGAGCAGTACTTTCCTGTGGTACTGTTTATTACGCTGTACAAGGTAATTCTAACTTTTGAGTCTGCGGTTGAAACCCTCAAGTGTGACCATTCAAATGATAGCTACTGAGCTGTACTTTCCTGTGGTACTATTTATAAAGCTGAACAAGGTCGTTCTCTGTTAGCTTCACACTAACCTCACAAATGTTATCCAGTCTTTCCTTATTGGCCTGGATTTCTGCTTCAAATGTTCTGTGTTTCATGACCTTGCCCTGAATGTTACTAAGATCTCGGTAGGTTTCCTCTGAGGCGATCAACAGACGCTCGTTAAGCCAGTCGTACATCTAAAAAGATATTTACAAAATATCAATTAAGTATAGGCGATGAATTGAATACACCTCGGTAAAACTGGATTAAGAACGTTAAGAAAAATTAACGACAAACAACAAACAATTCAGGTAACATACATCTTCAGCATCTTGTATAAACTGCTGCAATTCCAAGGAATCTCTCAGTCTCTTAAGAGCGGCAGCCATCTTTTCATGATTAGCAATTCTCCTGTGAAAGCAAGCAGATCCGCGTAAGCAGGGTAATTTGTGTTAAGACAGAAAGAGGTCAGTTTCCCATCTAAGTGCCTCTTCACAAGAGTCCAGTCTAAATCTAAAAATTTCCGATGTGTTCATATGAGAGGGCAGGCTGGCTCCGTTCCCGAGATCTCGGTCTTTCCAACCAGAACTCAGTGAGCGGGCTGGAAAAGAGAGCAACAGGGCAACAGTGTAGCCCGGATGACATCGTCTTGCTTTGCCTGCTGCATTTTCCACATCATAAGCATCCCATTTAACTGCAGTGATACAGCTATAGGAGTTGCAAAGCTATGATAGGCACGACAATTATAACTTTGTGTTTTGCCATGTTTGCTTCGTTTCTCGAATTTCGCGCCTGAACTCATCCCCAGAATCTTTGACGTTTCCTTATCTCGGAAACCGGGCTGAAATTTCTGATATGAACCCGAGGCAAAATTGATCCTGATAACAGGGCCAGCCCGCTTGTGTATAGGGCTCGTAAGAAAAAATATTTATAAAAAAGTACTACAGAAAAGTTTTTTCCTTGCCTTTCGTCAATGCTGCGAGCTTTCTCAGTAATTTTGTCAGATGCGTAGTGGTTTTCGTCATTCAGGCGATCAGCAAACTGCATCATTTGGTTGATCTTGTCATCATTTGTGTTCATTCGCTTGTCAAATTCTTCATGTTTCTTGATGAGTTCCTTCACAGCTTCAACTGTGGCCTTTGACAAATTGGAATTCAAAATTAAAATTGCGCGCTTCGTATCATTGTCTTATCTATGAGATTACCACTTCTATGAGTCAGTTATGCAGTATGTGGATGAAATCCTAAAGTGTGTTCACTCAAACGAAAGCTACAGAGCAGTAATTTCCTGTGGTACTTTTTATTATGTGGTACAAAGTGGTTCTATATTTTGATTCCGTGAATGACATCACCCAGTGTGACCATTCAAAAGCTTTTAAGCAGTTCTTTCCTGTGGTACTGTTTATTACACTGTATAAAGTGATTCTAAAACTTATACACTGTTAGAGTCTATGAATGAAATCCTACAGTTTGACCATACAGATGAAACCTCTTTCGTCAGTAGGCCACCGCCATTTTTTTAGTCTACTTCACAGCCATTCTTTGTGTCGTCACGCAACGCTACTCTCCAGCGTTACTTGACAACACAAAGAGGGGTGGGGAGCAGACTACCATTTTTTCAGCCCATAAAAACATTGAATTTCGAATTTTTCTTGAACCAGAAGTTAGGCGGTACAGGTGAAACCATGTAAAACTTACTCCATTTTCTTCTTTAGACAGGAAAAGTTCTTGTTGGCCAAGGATGGCTTCACACTGCTTAGAGTCACGGATAAACAACTAAAAGAAAACCACAGCAAACAGTTGGGTTAGCAGTCATAAATGATCATAAAAAATATTTTCTTTACACATACTTTTCAAACCCCTTGTTTCAGACCTCTCTCTGTTCAATACAAACAGTTGCCTTGGTTCCAAAGAGAGGAAACCTTCCCGCACTTTTTTTTTCAACATCAAGAAGATTCGCCATTGGCTTTCTTTCTCATTCTTTCTCAAAGACACAATGAAGAAGCATGGAATTTATGTTAAACTGTGAAGTCATCATCTCCATACCTGGTGGTTCAAAGCTTGAATAAGCATTTTCTTTCTATTCTCCCACAAAATATGCACATCATTCCATCCAGTCTCCAAGTTGTCAAGTTGTTCCTTCAACGACTGCTGTTGGAGGTCAGACTCGTCCTGGATCCATTTGGGTCCACTTGCCATGAGTTGTCTGAAGTCTGGCTCACGACTATCGATCTCTTCCTTGAGATCTTCATGTTCTTTCAGCATCTTCTCGGCGTCAAACAGAGACACTGGCATATCCTCTGATGCAACCTCGTTCTGAGTGTTGTTCAGCCTTGAAAAAAAACGGTTATGAACGAGTTTTCTCGTTTGGATCATTTATACTACATTGTATGTCCAAGCAAAAAGACTGCACTTCAGAGATACAAAAGGGGGATCAATATAAGTTTCTGGGAAACTGCCCACCTACCCCTCCCCTAAGCCAACATTTTGCCCTAAGCGTTGATTTCCACTGTCGCGTAATTTTTCCGTGCGAACGCACGTAACATTTACACGCGTAAAATTTACGTGCGTGCACACGTTAAAATTACGCAACAGTGGAAATCCACCTTAAGTCAGAAGTAAGTGTTAATGTTGGCTTAGGGGAGGGGTAGATGGTACAATGATCCCAAAATGGAACACCTGGATCTAATTGTTCGAAAGGATGATAACTCTTTCCTTTGGATAAATCTCTATCTAGTAAATAGCACAATTAGTTTCCCAAATATTTTTCTAGGGCTCAAACCTTTCACAAATATTTTTCTGCTGGATAGTGCTATCAATCCTCTGAACAATCGGGGCCTCCAGAATAACTAACTACATTTCTGAAAAATAGCAGCTGCACGGTACACGTCCCACGTCGTGTTCTATTGAATGTCTATGAATTTCTTATTGTATCATTAACTTACCATATCTGGAAGTTATCCAGATCGATTACAAAGCGCTGAAGCTCTCCAGATTCTGCTAAGGCTTCATCTCGTTGCTTTACCTAAAACAACAACACAAAATAGGCAAACCAGTTATTACTTGGGTGATAAGAGAGATATTGCGCTTCAATTTCGTCCCGTTAAAAATTCTATATTTCTTTTATCCTGAGAGTAAGTGTGCAAGGGCCTGCTTAATCGAAAGTCCCACTAACCTTTCAGGCCCAAAAAGCTGTTTTATGTGTACCAAGTTTGCATTCAAGATCTAAATTTCAATAATTTTGAAAATGACTCAATCACTCAACGAAGCAAATTGACCGTTTTATGAGCTAGCTGTGGTACTATTCAACAAGTTTTAATTTAATAATTGCCTTCGGCCCAAAAAGTTCCTTAAAGGGGCCCCTGTGTTTAAAACATAGGGAAAATTTGAACCAAGGATAAAATTCCACCACACCGTGACATCCAAGTGTGTAAAGATAGCTTCATTGTTGAAATTGTTCCTGTTAAACAAGGAAAGAGAAACTCACATTGTCCTTGAGGTCAATCCAGCCACTACTAACAACAGTCATTTTCTCTCTGATTATAGGTTCTTCGGGTTCCTTTCAAAGAAATCACAAAATTTTCATTAAAAACAGTACAATACCGGATAAAACGTAAGGATTAAATCAAAGATATCGAGTCTCCTTACTATTATTAATGTGTATATAATCAAATCAATCAATCAAATCAACTTACTCCTTGGTATTCAGAGCAAAGGTTATTAGAATCGCTCTCAAGCTTAGTGACCTACAACATAAAAAGAACGAACATCAACAGTCTACTAACATAAAGAAACTTATTTTGCCTGAACTTTAGAGTCTGAGGTGTGGTGATCCCAACAAAATTGTTTGGCCTTTAAAGTGATCCTTCGGCCACCGGGGTGGGTGGGAGATTTATGGAGATTTCTTTCCACAATTTGACATCGCTGTACTCAGGTCCCTGGAATCAAGTCCCAAATCCCTAGTAATCCTTCAGGGTATGTTAGCTTACATGAGTACACTCTGCACTCTGCACACTGGGCGCCAGAGGATGAGAGAAGAGATTATTTCTTTATCTGCCCAATAACAATGACCCAAAAACTGGAGATGCTTTTGCTTGAGTCTCAAAGATTTTTTTCCCCACAGCTTTATTGGGTACTCCTCTTATAATATTCAGTATAAAGTTAAAATACAACACAAGAAATAAAAAAAAAAAAAAGAAAGAAGCAAAATATAGAAGTGTCAGTCACGCATAGATCCCCTCAAGCATGGCACTGTCTCTCCAGCTGATGTTTTGCGCTCTTCTCAGAAGGTCTGTATAGCAACTGTCATAAAATGCTTCACAAACGTCACACTAACATGATGATGTAGGATTAGGACTAGTGACAGAGATAGGTTATGGACGTAGAAGATTAGACAACAATAGAATATCTTCAAGTCCCAAGTTTCTGTGGGGCACAATCTTGAGCACACCGTGAAGTTAAAATGAACCTTACCTTGTCTTCTAATGGTCCCAGGTCCCTCTGGATGCTGTTCAGACGTCGCTGTAAGATCATGACTGTTGCAAGATCTTTCATGTTTGTTACTTCCTCAACACTAAGAAGAAGGCTTGACTTCTCAGTAATCCACAGCTATAAAGGAAAGAGATAATGCGTTAGATTAGTCTACTGACTTCTGATTTCAGTCATCTCTCTCTAAACAAACAGCCCTGCACAACTAAGGTTATGCTTAGTCTCCCTTACAGCCGTTTCTGGCTTGTCACGCAACACTCCTCCCAACGTGAGGAGCTACATTGTGTGACAAGACAAAAACAACCGCGAGGGAGACTAAGGTTGGCTGGTCTAAGCACAGTTTCCAAATATTTTCTCTAACAAAAAACGGCCAGGAAAACACTTCTTCTGGCTGGCTGATTGAGGTCAAAAACAAGAATTTGCAAATATAGAAAGTAAAAATACATACAAATACAAAGACAACTCATAGGGACTCTTTGCCATGTTTACGAAACCAAAATAAGTCAAGGTCCCATAAAGTGATTAGCTTGCAGTGCTTGCATTATTTGTTTTAAGTTAAACCAGAATAAGCTTGGGCTGTGGTGGGTGAGACAAATCTCTGAGAAATCTCTCCTCCTTCAAGTAATCATTTTTTGAATTCTCATAACCTTATCTCCTGATTATGTGTAAATATGTTGGGAGAAAATTGATTTTGGTCACTCTTGAGGCTTCAAGGGTTAAAGCTTTATTGTCTACCCTTCAAATTGTACTTTTAACTATGATGAGTGATGACAAGTAGGAAAATACAAAACAAACTAGCAAAAATACACCTGCATTTGACAAAAACACTGTACAAAGTGAGACACAATATAATTAAGGGGAGACAAATTTCAGTAGCTTATTTGTTTGGTTTTTTGATTGTTTAAAGTTAAAAGCTTATGTCATATACCTTGGTCTCAGTAATGTCAGCATGGAATTGCTGGAGTCTGAGAGCTTTGTCTAACTTGGCCTTCTTGATGTCTGCGGCATTTCGAAGATTTGCCCATCTGAAAATAAGTCATTGCAGATATTCAATTTTTTGAAACTCTTCCTGTGAGAAATTTTGTCAAGGAATCCGTTTTAATTTCAAAAGCAAAAAAAACAGCGTGGAGAGAGGTTTGAAAATACTTCAGAGTCATAAGTCTGGATTTCATATGACAGGAAAATCCCCGATAACTGGAAATTTGTTTCTTCAGGTTTAGCTGACTAACGAGAACAAGAAATCCAGGAAAGGTCAGGAACAAAATCAAGGAAATCAGAAGCATTTCTCTAAGTGTCTTAAATTTCTGGAAAGGTCACAAATCACTCTATTTCATTTCAACAATTATATCAGAGATATTTTTAGCTTAGTCCCAATTTCTTCATGTTTTGGCTCCAGTCTAGACCTTCACCAAACAAAATGGCAGCTGGGACAGAATCTGGAGTTTTGCAACATATTGACCAAACCAGGGATGGTTAAAACTCCCTGATTGTGTGGGATTTTTGTAACATACACAAAAAAAAATTCACTACTCACTTTGTGTTAAGACCATCAATTGTGTCTTTGATTTCATCAGAGTTAATGTGGCCCTTGTCGACGAGCTGTCCACCAAGATCATTAACAACACCAACACGCTTTTCATTGGCATTCAACTCCTGTGATCAATAATTGAGTCATCATTAAATCAATAAACATTCACAAAAGTTCTAAAAGATAAACATAAAAGAAAAACCTGGCTGATATGAAAAATAGACCAGATGTCTTAATAGTTTAAGAGAACCATTAACATTCTTTCATTTCATAATTTACAAAAACAATAAATTTTAAAAATATTTAAGGGGACAAAATGGTAATGGCAAGGAAGCCTATTCAAGAAGCCAGCAGTTTATGAACTATAGGCTTCCTGAAAATATAGGGTACAACATGTAAAAACTAATAAGATAATGTTCTGATGTTTCTGTGACCACATGACGCCATTATCAAGGAATCAGGGATTAAATAAATGTAAGTTTGGAGAGGGTTTATGAGGACTCTAAATTTGCATAAACGAAGTAGACCTAGATGCATCTCTTTTCAAACTCACATATATTTATTCCCAATTCCTTGATGATGGCTTCGTGAAGTTGCCAAAATGTCAGAACATTAACTGGTTAGTTTTCACATGTTTCTAAATCAGACATCATTCTACAAACCTGTTGGAATCCCTCGAATCTTTGCTCAATGATCTGGCATTCTTCCAAATCCATGCTCTTTTCAACAGTGAGAGCTGCTTCAAGTCTGTCCTCCTATAAGACACAAAAGATAAGAAAATTCATGTAAGTCAAGCTTGGATGATAACCTACAACAACAGTTCAATAACAACAACAACTTTATACAAAACCTTTCAATATCAATTTTACTACTAGAGGTAATCATCGATTACAGAGCAGGGCTCGTCACTTACAGAAAAATTATGAGAAAGAAATCGAGTCGAAAGGAGTCCAGTTTCCTGGCCAACATTAATAGGGGTGGCTAATTTGCAGTCGCCCGTTATAGCTCGGAAATTTCTGCCTTGGTGCCACAGGAACACCAGATTAGGATGCATTCTGATGAACGTGACAATGTGGCCTGGTGGTAGTAGAGGCACTAGTACAGTGGCAGGTGAAGGATAAGAAATTACATGAACAAACATGAACAGTCAACTCTTGCCTTGCGGACACCCAGCTATAACAGACACTCCAATAATACGGACAGCAGCTGAATCCCAGGCAAAAAATAAATTATTAAAGATGTTTCACTGAAATAAACTCCCACTATTAAGGACTCTCGCTAATGAGGACACTATAACTCAAGGTCCCTATTGTGTCCACTATAACGAGAGTTGACTTTAATCCTAGAAGCAATCTAGATATATCTCCTTTCCACAAGGAGCAGTCCACACACTGCCCGACAAAACTGTCCACATGATACCCAATCAAACATCAAAGCACTGCACAAGGTACCCAATTAATCATCCCAATCACATTCAGTACCACCAACCTTTTCATTAATCCAGCTGTCCACAATGTAAGCATCCCGGTTGAGCTGATGAAGTGAGAGAGCATCCAGGAGTTTGTGTCGGCGGTCTGCTGCTTGTAAGCGCAAGTTCTCGTAGCGAGTGTCAACACTACAAAAGAAGACAAGGATTGCATCAATGGGGAGGTCACCCACTGGAGACCAACTGGACTGAAAGCAGTAAACTTGTAATATTAGAGTCCTTAAAACTTGCAAGAGCCCTCCTTTCCTTCACTATTCATAACATCTAAGCCACCATATCCAGTAAAATAATGCACTCTCTTAAGTGGGTGGCATATGATTCTCCTGGTGAGTGAAGCCCTGAATAGGACTGTTGTCTAAAGGGACTGACATTTTGACAACCAGTGTGGTAGTCATCTTCAGAGCCAAAGTGAGTTGTGACACCTTGATCAGTTGACAGTATTACATGATACAACACACTTTGACTTTGAACATGTTGCCGAAAAGACTTTCCAAATGTCCGTCACTCTCAACAACAGTCGTATTCAGGATTTACTCAGCCAGATGATCACATTCCACCCACTTATGAAATGACTCCTGGGTGAAAACCTTCAGTGTGTTAAAATGATGCACTTTGTTTCTAACTCACTTTCGGCATCTGTCGACCACCTCAGGCGAAGTCTTGTCCTCATCACCAAGTTCATCCACTTGGTCATGAAGGCCTTTGATCACTGATGCATAGTTTTCAATGTCTTCTTCAATGATCTGTTAAAGATAAAATCGTTTACAGATTATTAGGGCATAAGATCAACATATCTTTTTGGCATGTGGTTTGCATGGAGACTCAACACTGAAGGTGTGGTTGTTTAACCCACACTAATATCAGTGGGCATAACCTCCACACTGCTCTCCTCACATGGTCTAAGATACTGTAGAGGAGAATTTGTTTAGTGATCAAAACCTTTTTCAATTATTAATCATTTTCTATTTTGCTCATCACCTTTATGTTTGATAGAGCAGTGCTACTTAGGAATGCAAAAAAATTGTGCCTCTCTTTGAAACTTGAAGGAACACAAAAGAGATCTTTTGACTTGCAAGAGCGAGTGATGAAGTCTTGTAAGGAAGTTATAACTTTTGAGTCTGGGGATGAAAGCTACTGAGCAGTACTTTCCTGTGGAACTGTTTAGTATGCTGTTTAAGATGATTCTAACTTTTGAGTCTGTGGATGAAATCCTTAAGTGTGACCATTGAATTAAAACCTCTTTGGCAGTTCTTTTGAAAGGTGCCATTTGTTTATTGGCATTTTGCAAAATGAAATTTTAAATTTTTGTCCAATATTGACTTTGGCCACGTTTAAGAGGGAAAAGTCAAGCAATAGTGTACCTTATGCTTCTTCAACAGGGTCTCAGCGCTAGCCTCATCATAACCAAGATCATCATTGGCAACAATCCTCTCCATCATGTCCAGCCACGACATGATGTCATTGTAGTCAGCAATAAACTGCTGCAGTTGGAGATTTTCCTGGATCTTCTTCTTGCGATAAGCAGCCACATCATTTAAGTTTATCCACTTGTTCTGTATACTGACCATTCGAGACTGGATAGTGTCAGATGAGTAATGTCCAGAGTCCAAAAGGTCTTGGCCACTTTTGAGTACTGCCTTTGTGTGAGTGTCGCGTTTGGCCATGTCTCGTTCCACAGCCTAAGAAAGAAAACCACCAGTGTAAACATTACTCATTGGTAAAAAAGGAAAGCTATGGAGGAATTTATTATGTTCCTGAGGTACTGTTTATTATGCCTTACATACCAGTTGCTCTCTTAACATTACACAGAAAATAAAATATTGTTATCTTCTGTATTCTCCACCTCCCTTTTCAATCTTGGGGTATTACAGACCAAAATGCATATTCATATGGCTAAATTTTGCATGACTTTGAAAGAAGGGCACAACTGCGTGGCTTAGTGGAGGTGGGTGCCCCGGATGTCCAGGAGCTTCAACTTTTGGCACAGCCAGCCCCTACACAGAGTTATGCCCCCCTGGCTGGCAAACCAGCGCCCTCCAGCCACGAGCCCCCACGCCAATGGAACCAGGCACCTGTCACGCGGACTTATCAGTGGAAAACTAAAAGGGGGCAGGAATGGGGGTAAAAGAATGATTTAAAGGCTAAACAAGGAGAGTGGCTGCCAGAAAAACGTTGAACTAAGCACATGGAGGTGATGCTAGCAAGGCTCACTGCGCTTGAGCCCAACAACTGACCGCTGACCATGCCCACACTCCTAGTTGTTAACTGTGTTAAATAAATTTAACTTCGTTATATAATGTACTAACCTCGTGCTTGTTCAACAGGAGCATGGCACTATTAAGATCATGTCCATAATCAGTCGACTGCAACGACTGCGTCTTTTCAGAGACCCACATCTCCTCCTCCTCTGCATCACGGTAGAAGGTCTGTAACTTATGGGACTCGTCCAGCCTTGCACGCCTAGCTGCGGCAAGCTGCAAAAGCTCGTTATAAGCTCCTTCCAGCTCAGCCTGGTGGTCTCTGATCTGGTTTTCATCAGGTTGGTAACCTGCAATGAGAAAATGAAAGGTTTAAGTTGGTAATCATGGCTATTGAAATGAATCTTGTTCATATGCTGTCCAAAAAATAAAGAAAGAGTTTGTAGATGTTTTAAACTATCAAGCCTCAATATCAACTTAATATCCTTGCCCAATGAATGGACCATTTTATATAATAGTAGCCAAGAATTTGATTAAACTTGAACACTTGAGAAAGCTTCCAAACTGTATGTGATAAAATACCAGAATGCAAAAAGTACCAGTAAATATGTAGGTAAAGAGGTGTCATTTAAAACTCATACCATAAGATTTCCTTCACGACTAAAAGTATAACAAACAGTAATACAGGAGAGTACATTCAGTAGCTTTCATTGACTTATCGAATGATCACAATTTAGATTTTAACCACAGACTCACAGGTTAGATCAATCTACTTACTGTCTCTATTGAAATGAAAGGGTTAAACTTTGGAAAGAACTTAACACAAACAATTCTTACCATCTTCCTCATTGTCCAGCTGTAAAAACAACTCGGCCTGTTCATTGACATTCTTTACTCTGTCAGCTTGTGCTGCTATGTCTCCTTCCACAAGACTGTGTTTCTGCAGCAAGTCCTCAACACCAAGCAAGTGTTTGCCATAATCTTCTGACAGAAGTCCCATCTAAAATAAAAACAAAATCATAAAGTAAAAATCAATCTAAGTTAAAGTTTATCTTCATTCAGGTAATTGGCCCACAATCTTGTATGCAGCTGGTGGCCAAATCAAGCTTACTGCTATTACTCTGATAAGATGTCATTACTCTTTAATTCTGTCAAACTAAAAACTACAGAAGCGTTCAAAGAGTACATGACCAAAATTTGGTATGAATATTTACAACATGTACTAACACAACAAAGAATAAACTGCAGATGTTTTTGGGAAGTTAAGTAATGGTTGATGCAGACACTTCCTCAAAAAATTTTTCCAGCTATGTGTATTATCTTCCACTCAACTAGTGGAAAAATTACCCTTAGAACAATAAAACAAATTTTGTGCAAAAGCCCATATATACCAGCACTAAAACTTGGCTAGCCGAGAAAGGAGCTTAAAAAACTTGCACATATTAATAGAATCAGCCTGGTTTATGGGAATAAATTATTGTATCATTACCTTAATTTCATCCATCCAATCGATGGCATTGATCATCTCCTGGAATATTCTCTGCAACTTCATGCTTTTCTCAAGTCGAGAACGACGGCGCTTCAGCAATTCAAGAAGTTGTTCCCATAGCTGCAAGATCAAGTCTTTCCTGCAAAATAAATAACACAAAACATCATTTCATAGTAACACAGACATTTCATGAAAAGTTATAAAGAAAGTGTGCTCCATTATTTTTTTTCTAGAGTAAATTGCCTTTTAAAAAGAATACAAGAGTAAAATACTAAGTGTCAAAATAAATAAAAGCCAAACCTGGACTGAACTCTGTCAGATTCATGATAGTTTTCTTTGTGTAATTCATCAGCAACTTGAACAATGGCATTGATACGTTCTTCATATGCCTATGAAAAGTAGCATACCATCACTTGTTACTGAATTGCCAGTTCTTATAAACTCGAGAGACCATTCTTCACCCATCACGAGTAAATGAAAATTATGGAGAAATTAAGTTAATCATACCATGATATCAGTTTCAATGGCCTCGTGTTTCTTGGTTGCAGCCTCAACTGCTGCTATGTCATTTCCAAAGTTGTCTTGCGATACCAGCCGCTGGTTTTCATTCAGCCAAGTTTCTCGCATAGCGGCCTAAAAGTTGAACAACAATAACCATTCAGTTGTTGAGTTCAATACAAATTAACCCAAAAAGTGGTGCTCTTCTTAAGATTAAGAACTGCTAAGCTAATCAACGTGGATTTCTTACGAAACCTATACCCTGATCTAAAATAATAGTGACTTTTACGACAATATTTACCTTTCTGTCAAACTTTGCAGCCAACATTTCAAGCCTCTCTTGTCTAAGAAATGAAGAAATAGTAAATATTAAACAAAATCACTGATTATGAGAGAATGTTCACCAGGAAGTGATTCAAGTGACTGATCGGTGTTTTACCTCATGAGTTCTTCTCTCAATGCAAGCTCTCTTTCATGTTCAGCTCGTTCCAATGATTCCCAAGCCTACATGTGATAGAAAAATAATGTTAAGAACCAAATTAAAGAGGCACTATCAAAATTTACAGGGAGTATAGCTAGGAATATCATAATAAAAAGAACTTTTAAGTGTTCTGAATAGCTAAAACAAATACGGTTGAGTAAAATCATGAGTTTGTAGCTGCCTGGTCTACAGTACCATATTTTGACATCTGTAGGTACAATAATAAAAATGCAATAGGATATTTCTAAAATGCAAACTAATGTGAAAGGTTACAAAAGAAAATATAAGTATAATAACAAATTCTAACTTTTTCCTTGAAAGAATATGGCAATGTCCTATAAAGAACAAGAGTATCAAAGTATCTGTTTTTCCCTTTTTTTTTGTTTTTTCTGATCTACAGACTTGACAGTTTGTAGGTCATGAAAAAGCTGCTTATTTCACCAATGTAAGATTGTCACACTGTCAACTGTACGACGCTAACCATGTTATTAACATTAAAACTAAAATAATATTTAATTCAACTTGTCGACCAAGATTGAACAATTCAACACAATGTAATGCTCTCACTTTGCAATCAAAGTGCCTGGTGACTCAGGGTTGTCAGAAAGTTTTGAAGTAGACAGCTGAGTTGTCAAAATAAGCGGCCAGTCCAGGGATATTTAATATAAAAAATGCCATCCCTAAAGAAATGCCAAACAGAGTAGTTCGCCGATACTAACTAAGTAGTTGGTGATTTTCTCCGGCAGCCGGCTACCTCTGACAACCCTGTGACTGTGTTTAAACTCAAGAACAAAATAAAATAGCATACCTTATTGATGTCACTCAATGCTTTGTTCTCCGGAGGTGTGTACATCTTCTGATGGTTTGCGCGAAGCTTGCTTGTAAGGATAAACAGCTGAACCTCAAGGTTGCCTTTTTCAACAAATCTGAGATCAAAGCAACAGAAGAAAAAATTGTTTCAAACCATGAGTTTTACATGATTTTCTGTGGTGGTGCAAACTATAATGACAATGATGACAACAAGGATAAAATTGATTGGATATAGAAGACACTGATAGAGAGTGACATCAAAGGTGTGATTAACCTTTCGACATCTTGACAAAGTTATGGCAAAATTAATTGTCACTCTAACTTATAAGTCTGTTGAAGAAATCCTATGGTATTACCATTCAAATGAAAGCTCTTTTGCAGAACTTTTGAATAGTACTATTTAAATCTTAGGAATTTACAAAAAAATAAATTAAATTTTTTGTGAATCTTTTACTTTAGCTGCTATTGGGAGTTAAAGGGTTCAAATGTTAATGCCCTCACCTTGGAGGCTTCTCTTGTGTCCTGTACTGATTGAACTCCAGCATCTGTTGCTGAACACCAACAAGCGTGTTGGCAAAATTTCTGTCTGACAGCTTTACAATGGTGATCTGTATCCATTCCAGGAGATCTGTGGCTTGTTTCTCATATTCTTCAATCAACTCTGAATTTTCTTTGATGCGCTCAATTACCTGAGAAAAGAATTCAACAGGATGTATAAACCTTTACTGAGGGACATGAAAAAGGAAGGCATTGTATGACAAGCATTTAAACCACCATTACCAGAGTCAATTCTGGACACAAGTTATGCACAAGTCTAAGTTTTCCATCTGTGCGCAAAATTCTGGGGTGTGGCTATTCAAACGATAGTGGAGTGGTTATGAAACCTGGCAGATCTTTCTCTCTCTAGCTGGGGGTCACCCTCATAGTGGCCAGGGGAAATCCATGGCCCTCAGCCTTTTTTGACAGCCTTGATATTCGTTTTAGTCCACTATCCAGATAATACTTTCATCCAACACACAGTAAGCTTCATTTAAAGAGAGACCAGCTGGTGAATCAAGGGTCATGGGATAAAAGTCAGCGGAACCACAAGCCAGGATCAGGGTTGAAGCGTGATGAAAAAGCTGTGATTTAAGTTGATATACTACTTATATAACAGTCCTTTTACAGTTCAGATGATCTTGCAGTCCTTTTCTAATAAATCATAAGTTCAAGAAATGATATAAGACACAAACTGACTTACTTTGCCAATTCTGCTGCCACTGACTTCCACAGTTTTCATTTTTGCAAAGTAATGATAGTAAGCAGCCACATACGTCATGACTGACTTCTCATCAGGAAAGTCAACATTAACATCTAAAGAATACAAAGAGCACAAGATTTGTAAGCACCATTTCAAGAATCACATTAAAAATATATATTTTTTCTACAACACTAGCCTGTAACAGGCTCTTACTCAGTGCAGACAAGCAAAAAAAGCAGCCAAGCAGCAAAAACAGAGAAGGGGAGAGCCTTAAGCAGCTTTTTAAATACTTCAGTCTACCCACTACATCCCACCCACTCCCAAAAACAAACATTTCTTGCATCAAAATGTGCGATGTAGGAGGGTTGCACACACTTGCCAAGTTTGTCTGACTCAGTCTCTGCACATGCACCATGCAAAGCCAAGTGATTGACAATAGCGTAGATATAAACTTTCAAAACTCACCAATGGTAGGGTATACCAGGAACTGGTATACCAGAATAAGGTATTAAAAACAATGCTTACAAGGCCTGCTTTCCTATCTGTCCCCAGCCCCCATGGGGTTTTGCCCAACTTTTTATGGTCTGCTATAACAACTACCGTGGAGCCTGGAACAGGCTTCTACAATACCTTCTGCTTCCAGCAGTTGTGGGATCTCCAGCTGTGTTTCTGCGACTTCAAATGCAAGATTTAAGTTCTTCTCAGGTTCACTCTTGGTGAGTTTGTCATACTCAATCAGGTCAGGTCTAAAAAAAAATAACAACAACGCACTCAGCAAATTGATGAATTGTGGATTTGACTGTGCCCTAAAATTGCTGACAATAGTATTACAAGACCATAGGATCACATTAGTTTTCGGAAGTACCTGTGTCTGTGAATGAGTGCATTGAATGCCAGTCCATCACGCCAGCTTGTGGTGAAGTTGGATATTGTCACATTGCGATACCTATATTTTGTATCCAAGAGGATTATAATACACATTAGTACAGGAAATCACAAAAATCTTTGTCATTAAAGTACAACCTATGACAAAATCCACAAAGATATCAGAGGGACCTTGAAAAAAATTGGTTGATATTAAAAAACAAGCTGGGCATTACATTTCTCTTGCCCCCAAACAGTGTTTATTGTAAAAAGGAAATAAAGCAGTGACCAATATTACCTCCCACCTTAACCCTTAACTCTCTATACATTCCATAAAGAATGTGTTGAGAGAATTTGATAAAAGATCAAAGCATTTTCTCTTAGGTGATCATTTTATTAATTCTCTTAACTTTATCTCTTGACATTGTATGGATATTGTTAGGAGAAAATTGATGTTGGTCACCATTGGGACTTAGAGGGTTAAGGACACCTTGCTACTAAGGAAACCTGAATAATATGGACTACAGCTCAATCCTAGCAAAACTTACAGATAATTGATTGCCAAAAAACTTCTGTTATTATCAACTCAAATTATTATGAACTTGCAGAAACTTTTTCAGGTACAGACAGCACAACTTTCTTGTTCTAACTACCCTTACAGTCAAAACAGGTCAAGCGTACCCCCCAAGATTCTATTAGTGAATTGATTATTTGAAAAATGAATCCGTTAGTTGTTCCCATGACTGGTGTCAAATTCAAATCCGAATTACTGCATGTGTAATGAACAGTGAATAACTTACGAGAACTTGTCTGTATTTGGTCAGATTGAAAATCTTTGAATGAATTAAAATTCTTAGAAGACATTTACATCAAATTCAGGGAAACTGAGCTGGTAAAAATTTCGTAACTGAATCGCATGTGAATTCATGGCTCATTGCGCATGCAAGAATTTAGAGATGAATCTGAAATCTACAACTGCCAACGGACTCAACTTTTGAATAATAAATTCATTAATGGAATTTTGGGGGGTACGCTTGACCTGGCTTGACTGTAAAATAGGATCCTCTTGTTATTTTCTAACATACCCAACTGTCTTGGATTGGCACCACAGCAACAGAGCATCTTTAGCAGATCTCTTCTCCTTTGTTTCTCCTTCTATGGTGATATCTGAAATCTAACAAAACATATGTGTGTTACCATCCAGCTATTTTAATTCTGCATTTTAATCAAATTACACTGGCCAAAATATTTCTGTGGCTAAGGATCATTACATTTAGTACCTGGAATCGAAGGATGATCGTCCATATCAGACCTAACGTGATCTTGTTATTTCCATCGACAATATCATGAGCGCCAATGTTCTCCAGGTGGACCTAATGAATCAAAAGATCATTATATGTGGGGAGGACAGGGGGTGGTGTCTGGGAGAATGAAGGGGTGGAAGAGGAATAGGAGATAGGTGTTATAACAGGGTGAGAAGGCGGAGAACTTTATTGGGGGGATAACACAACAATGCTTCACATTTAGAAATTGAAAAGGGCTTAATAGGGAAGCAAAGTAAAAAGGGGCACTCCACAGGAGAAGAGAATGCAAAGGTGAGAGGTTTGGACCCCCTGTCACCACCCCCCTCCCCCTTATTTGTGATAAATGCATACTTTTGCAGTTGATGCAATGTAGTCCATTTTTTGGCTTGAAACCTTTGAAAAATTTGAAGAATTCTGCTGTTGTAACATGGCTTATTGACTGAAGAGGCTCAAAGAGCGAAATATAACTCAAGACTTTTCATTCTTTTTTCTACAGTTTCTAGATTTTCAGTGTATTGAATGTGTAAAAAGATGTGATGTCTTCTTCTAGTTCAAGTTAACAGGGCTTGTGAATATTATCATCATTATTATAGGAAGGATTACATTAAACTGTACCTTTTGCTTTTTTAAGAAGGTCAGGGCTTTGTCAACATTTTCAAGCATGTGAATTCTCATTCTTCCTTTAGATGGCTTGGGCTGTAAATCAAAAAGATGAGTAGAAAAATTCAGTTAATTATCAGACTCACCAAGATAAGTACATTAGTTTCCTTAGCAATGACATAGAAAATAATGCAAAATAAAATTAAGGTATTTCAATTTTTTGCATGAGGTCCAACCCTCCTTTATAAAGTAACATTGCCACGAACACCATTAAACAAACTTGAAGATAAGAGAAAATATTTCAAAAAAATATTTTTCACATCCAAACCATACATGTCTATAGCAACATCTAACAGCTATTATGTTAAAGAAAACAGCAGACATTTTTGTCTTCCAAATACATGTTATTAATCCCTCTCTTCATTATTTTACAGCTTAACATCTTTTGAACTTTACATGTGTCAGTGGGCTAAGATGGCAAAATAATATACATATAATACAACACGACAGCTACAATATTATTATCTTAGTATATTGGGTCCATCAAAGCTTGAATAACTCGCATCATTTGCTTCACATAGATAGATTTTGCAAGAACTATACTAAGAATTTTATTCATATTTATTGTGGTTTTCCAATTGTTTTGCACCTGGTGCCATAGGGGAATCTGATGTATCAATTAAGGTGGGTTTCTAATAGCTCCAGCCCAGAAATCTTTACTAGATCAGATCAAAATACAAGCAGGTTTGAACAGCAGAAATTTGCAAACTGATTCTTACCAGTTTTTCACCAGACAGGATCTCGAGAAGAAGAATGAGTTTTTTGCCATCCTTAAGATCATGATAGAGGTCATTAACCCTTGCGTTAACACGCTGAAGATGTGAGTTGACCCACTTTGTGAATGTTTTCTTTTGTACTTTTTCTCTTTCATCTGCAAATGAAGATATCACCATATAGTTTGCATTTATACAGATAGAAGTCAAAATATATCAGGATTCTCATTAAGTGCCATCAACCGGCTAAAAAACCGGGTACTTTGAAGTCTGAGCCATTTATTTCTTGGGATAAATGGATAAAGTGAGGGAGTGAAATCCTTAAATTCCCTACAACACTTGATTGCCCAGCTGCCTCCTTTTACATCCTGGCTGTCTACTTTAAAACTTAATGAGAATCCAGATGTATATCCTTATAAAAATAAAAAAGGATAACCCTTATTTAGGAACATAAAAAAAAAACAGACCAAAATAATCATCTGTGGGCTAGTAGAGAGAAAACCTCCTAAGGCATCAACTTCAATAAGTTAGTTATAGGGTCTATCTGTTTAAAAGGCAGATAATGTCATGCAATAAATAAATCTCTATCCGGTGGATAATGCAATTGTTTTCACTCAAACTTATCCTCTAGATGGTGGTTTATCGGGGGAACAGCACTCAAAAATGTTGTGTGACAATGAAGAATTTAAATATTTGGAAATATTTATTTAAGAATAAACTCAGTCTTAACCAAACAATGTAATACAACTTCAAGAATTCATTATTAATATGTTTGCTCATAAATATACAAAAATTATTAAAATCAACGTATTAAGTGTAAATATCGTCAACACTGCGTACTGGGACTGGTATAAATAAACTTGACCGTCATGCTAGATAAATTAAGAAAACAAACGTTTAAGCACCAGGGAAAATATTTATCGATCAAAATCTGATTACCTATTCTCGAAAAAACCTATTTTTACACGGAAAAAAAATTCAGATGGAGCAAAAAAAGACCTGAGTTGTGATGAAAAGTCGATCATGCGAAGTTCCCATGAATTTCCCGTGACCGAATGTTAAAATTAGTATTCAAGACATTTTTGCTTTACTCAAACCTGCTACGACAAAAAATATCTTTATTGAAAGAGAAAACAAACAGGCAAATAAACGATAGGAGTTTTTACTGAAAGCGAAGTTTTGTTTTTGTTCGCATACAAAACATTCTCCAGTCAAAACAAAAAGAATCACGCAATCCTTGGGACCACACCTCCGCAATGATAAAAACAAAAATATTCGAGAACATTTCGACTCTTTGAGCATACACATATCTATATAATTCGCTTTTCTCTCCTGTCTCGTCTAATGGCAATCTAAACTAAATTAACATTTAAACTAATCAGGAAGCCTGAAGCATTATGCTTATATTTGATGAAATCAGATGATCGCAGATGTAATATTCTATTTCCATTCTTTTCGGCTCATTGTAATCAATTCTCTTCACTTTGTGTTTATTTTTACGTACATGCAGTAGGCATTGCGAATAGTTCTTGCTGATCTAGGCCATGTTTCAAACTTTAAATAGAGAGCTTAAGAAGAAGACAACTGGTTATACAAAGAAGTATGAGCTTAGTATTAAAAATATTACTTTGCGATCACGAAATTCAAGGTTTGGTGATAAATAATTTACCCTTAGCATCAAATTCTTGAATAATAAAAGAGCCCTCCTGTAGACAGACATGCTTACTATGAGCAATAAAAACCACGAGGCGATTTTAGAAGTTGAAGCCGATTTTTCTAAGTCATATAACGGCTAAAGAATGCTTATTTACTGACCAGCAAGTACTTTGATTCGAGATCGTTCAAACAGCCTCGCTGAACTCTGCTGCTCCATCCACTGATCTTCCTCGGCGTCGCGATAATCTGTCGATACTTCACCCATTGTTCCCATAGACTGGATGAAAGCCTAAAAGGTAAAAAAGTGAAACGTCAGGACGGACTTTCGATTACCTACAATAAGTACGAAATTAAATGGAGTTCGATATTTCATCTTGATGAAGGTATGCTGGCATAGACGCAATACAACACCCTACATAACATCTATAAATACTTCTATAAAGGAACACACAAGTCTGGTGACATAGCAGTTACTTAGCATTAACAATCAATAAAGATTTACGATGTTATCCAGCTTTAACTCTATGTAAAGACGATTTATGACTTGTTTTCAATAAAGCAAATCCTGGATAAACTGATGAGCCACCCAAATTATCGCGTTTCACAGCCATACCCTCCGACAATTCGAGCTACTCGGGGTCAATCAACGTCAGTGAGCTTTCAAATCCTTGATCCAGAAAAGCACTTTCACACTGCATAGAAATTACACGGGAAAACAAACGTCCTAAAAAAGCGAAACAACTGTGAACTGGCAAAACCAACCAACGCCGCATTCCACGCGACACCTTTTGCCTTCCCCGCCCTGCACGAAAACTACGCCGTCCAATCAAAAAGCACCTAATAAAGGGAACAGCCAATCGATGCGCGTTTTATAACGAACAAGTCACGGCCTCTCAGTGAATACATTTAGTCCCGGGAAAGTGGAAGGTGTGTTTTGGAAGGCGAGAAAGGAAACGCCATTTACCTTCAAATTAAAGCAATTTAAAATAATTTCACTACTTCAGGTAAGTTAAGTAGCTCTTAAAGAATAATTTTGATCTAACAATTAGTCAATAAAATGGTGTTTACACGCACTAAAGGCTTTCAAAACACAACACAATAACCTATTAGCTCAGACGAGATGGAAGTTAAGTTGGCCAAGACGAAAATAGGAATCTCTCGGTTGAGTGAGCTAAAGATAACTTAGTCTGTGTATCTTTTTGTGGCTTTTTTATGATGTGCTGTTACACCATGAAGCGCCAATTACCAAAACATGCAGTAATTACAGGAGAATAATAAAGCAAAGTTTGATCAAAGTAGCATCTCTCCTCAGCTCTCATTTTCTTGGCTACAGTTCAGAGAATTTGCTTATGCATCAAAGATGATGCAAGAGATAAAGCCTGATGTCTGGAAATATCTGGCTATCTACTTGACAAAGAACCAAATAATTAATCTACCCATGCATCACAAAGTTGCATTGGCAATGATAGAGCTGGTTTTTGGAAACTCTGGCTATTCAAATTGACCTTGGGAAAGAAAATAGAACTTGAAATGTTATAAAGATTAAAATGATGTTTGTTAGCAAATCAAGTCAGAGTACAAGGTTTGCATTAGAGCATTGAAACTACAATCAAGGACACTCAACTTGGGTCACACTGCTCTGGTACCTGCCTTAATGTTGTTTTGTAATGGTTTTTCAGTGGAATTGTCCAATTTCGAGGCCAATGTTGCAAGAGAGAGGGAAAGGGATGTTGAGCACAACATGTCAACGCTATTCCTTCAATTGACCCAAATTCTAATGTCATGAATTGTAGCTGTGGCAACTAGGCACTGCAAGTGGCATTTACAACAAAAATAATGATGAGGCAGTTATGTTTCAGTGGCCTCAAAGTATCAGTACAGTATCCTCTTCCCCCCAAAACAAACAAAGGCCAAAATGCATCATTTTACCATCTTGATGTGGGGAGAAGGGTCTCCTTACTTTCCATCTTTTAAGTCCAAAATTGCAGCTTTGAAATCAAAACTGGCATCTTTACATGCAGATTCTCTAATTTGAAATATGATGCCTGAATTAGCACTTGAGCAATTGACTAAAATGACTTATCAAGTGGATTTCAGAGGGACAGATCAGCAAAAGCACTAAAGAGAAACTCACACCTCTGGTGATGAAAACAGAGATGCAAAAAGTTGGAGTATAAAGAAATCAACTTTTCAGAAATCTATATTCTAATTTTGTGTTGGGTGTCATCCCTTATCTACCCTGGACTTTTGATTTTCTGTAATTTTGCTGCCTAATGGCTTCCTTTCGGATAGTACAGTTGCATTGCTCTCCAAAAGACAGAGAACAAACAATATTTATTGATACCTTTATTTACTTCTACATTTAATGTAAAGAATATCCTCGCAGTTAAAGGTGCAACTTATGTAGTTGGAAAATGAAAGTCTTAATAAATTCAGGCTTGCCACAATTCGAACCCTAACCTCTGTGATACCAGTTCAGCTCTTTAACTAATTGAATTAGCAAGCCAACTAGGAGCTGGTTACCCTCTTTGCTGCATGAAAAGACAATGACAAAAGTCTGTCAATTGATATGATGTGAGAATTCCCATTTCCAGCATTTTTAATGGAGCATAAAGTAAATTTTGACTTCATGTCGCAGACAAGATCAGCCACTCAAACACTCAGCGATCTTTTTAGGGGGAGGAATAAGATGACACCTGTGAGAGCAGGGAAAATCGAGCCAGTGTGCTTGCAATACTATTAAGAAATGAATCTATGAATCAAGCCAATGACAGTTGTAGGTTAGTGGTTAAGGTATCATTAACATGACAAAAGTTGTGGAGAAATCTTAATTGCAATAGCCTGTGAATAGGCTCTCTGTTTGGGGAAAAAATAGTGAGAAAAGGGAAGGGAAAGTTCCCTGCTCGACCAAAGGCCTGTTCACAAGCTAATTTGCAAGCATATTACTTACAACAAAGTTGCACCATGTAAATTGGTCTTAATATTATTAGATGAAACCCACATTTATGTGTCAAAATGTGACATTTACAAACCAGGCTGTCTGACGCTTACTTTATGACATTCTCACACCTGTTCTATTAACTGCATACATCTGTAGTTTAACTGGACCTACATTTGTATAATTATTTAGCAACTGCATTTATGATTTCAAATGCAAGCTTACGTTTGATATTAGTGTAGAACACAAAAATTAGGTTTCATCTGATAAACTATTGACATTTTAAATTCAGGGCTTTTAAACTTCAGCAGCAAGTAAATCAAGTCAACAATGGTAGTCTGCGGCTTTGTGGCTCTGTATTTTCATTTTAAAAGCATTTTATCAACCATCTTTCAGTTAATGAATATGTACATCAAACTTATTTCTCCTCACAGAACCTTTTAATGTTAGCATCATTGTTACAAATCCTGAAAATTACTTTCTGGGAATAGGAAAACCAGAAACCTACTCAAAAGTATCCCAGCAAATAAACCACAATATTAAAGATTGTTTTGTTAGTATTTTGTGACATTCAGACTTTTTGTTCTTTATAAAGAACAATGTTGTGTAAAACGACCGCTGTGCACTCCATTGGATGTAGTTTCAAAGTGTGATTTACGTGCGTGTTGAAAAAACTTCGATGAGAAAGCCTACAATGCAACGCTCATGATCAAATGTTCGAATTTTTTTCACGCGTTGGAAATACCATCAAATATTTCAACACGAAGAAATACACTTATAGAAATATTGGTTTATCTGCAAGTTACTTTTCATAAATTAGGAAGATGTGAAAATTTGGTCTTGCAGATGGACAAGCGTAAAATCAAAGTATAAAGAAATATTTTACAAGGGAAGTTGACTAGATTGTAAACAGAGCACTGGAACGTAGTGGAGTTGTCAATTTCACTCATCAGTAACAAAGAAATTAGCAATACGTGCGTGTTTCTATGAATGGGCGGGTTTGAACTGTGGAAATAAATTTGTATTACCCGTTTTAAATTCAGTTTTTTGGTAGCGTACAAGTAGACCAAGAAGAGGAACTAAGCTTTTGAACTGTGAATTTTGGAATTCAAGTGAGACTTATTTGGATCAGGAAGAGCACACTCGAGCTAAATGAATGTAGTTTTGGAAATTTACTCGCGCGATGCAACACAGCAAACTGTAGCGAATGAAAGGTTTATGATAACATCAAGTCTCGTTTCACACAATCAGATTCTCCAGATGCCAACATGATGCGAACAGGGAAAGGTTAAGAAAGATTAGCCTTGAGCTATATTCTGCCTGGAACAGAAAATAGCTTTTGATTTCTGTCCATCAGAAGATTACTTTCCTGTAGATCTAGACTATAAACCATGGAAGAGACAACGCAGACAAAGCACTTCGCAAAAGATTATGCAAAGGGTGGATTTAAAAGCATAAAACATTACTCATGCGAAAACAGTCGTCCATATGCCCAGATATAGCCGTGCATAGAAGGTTTGATTGGAAACAAATCCAGTGAATACTACCTTTTTAACCTCCGCACGAGTAAAACCTAAAGTAAAAAGTGTTGATTTACGTTTGCAGAAGAGTTTTTGCAGTTTCTCGTTGGAATTACTTAAAGGTTCAGAGGTTGAACGACAAAGCATTTCAATTCACACTGTCTTAAACTCAAGTCTCGATCGACGGTCTCGAAAAATCCACACTCGTCACGCACCAACAAGTGACATTTCAAACACACCGCCAAAGCAAACCCTGATGGAGAGGATGAAAGAATTGGAAGCTATCCCAAACAAAGTCAAAACTCTAAAGAGCGTTTGACGTTGCGAATACTGTTGTATGGGTGTGGAAGACCTATGAAAAATCATCTTCTACTGACCTTCATAACGTCCGCGTCGCGTTCCTCCATCTTTGTCGAGAGTGGTTCAAGCCTGTGGCGACTCACTTCTAGCAGATCTGTGCTCGCCGAGTCGAGCGGATGTTTCACTTCCACGGACATGATTCAAGCTTCTCGATCAACCGTTCGATTCGTTGTAACTTTCAAAGAAACTACGGCTGTGAGACACACGAGAATCGAATCCTTGATCAAGACACAGTGAGACGCCCTAAAACTGGGCCGGACTCACTCATTTGAAATTCGATATCTCTGCATATATTATACTGCTCTTTGTTTATTATAAGCGGACCAATCAGAAACGATATTAGTCACGTAAAAGGAAAGATCAATCGTCCAGAACATTCAACGCTTTCTCTTGAAGCTCGTGGCGTGAAGAATTCAAAGCGAAACCATTAAAACAATTCCATAAGGAAATAATCATTATCATGAGTTTCTCATTAATTAAAAAAATTCCAGTTCAAGGTGTTGCAATCTGCAAGGCAAAAAAATTCATTCGAACGTTCATTTCTCGGAAAGATCAACCTCCGTGTGGTTTCGTTTATTACCCACCGTTCTGCTTCCCATCTTTTTCAAATATTAAGGCATTCACTTATGCTTCTCTTTCTGTAATTGTTGTAAATGTATGTCAAAGGGGGCCTAACTCAAAAGCTAAACATAAAATATGCAAAATAATCTTCCTTAATTCTCAAAGCTAGCTTTTCCTCCGGAAAATGGGTGGGGCAGACAACCCACCGCGGCCCGGCCTTTTGTTTTCCTCCCAAAGTGTACTCGTTTCTGCTCAATTTTTCCTTGTTTTCTTCCTTGCACACAACTGTCCGAACCCCTGGAGCAGCTATCCCTCCCCTGCCCCACCCAAGCAATGTCACATGGTTTAGCAATATGGAACAGGGTACCCAAGCTGTGACATACACTGCTTCTAGAACTATGTGCTTCTCAAAAATACAGTAAAGCAGGTTAAACACGTGACTTTCTCCTAAAAGCCCATTTCCATTTTCTGTTGACTTGTGGTAAGTCTAGTTAAACACAAGTCTAGTGGTCTCTCTGTGGCTCAAGATATATGTTTTCTCCTGTACCTTACTTGTATGCCCAAAAGCCCACTCTTTCAGTTAGTAATTTTTTTTATTATTATTTCCTACCATAAATCCCCCAGTGAAACTCTCAAAATTTACAGTAGTTTCAAATCTTACACCTTTTTGCCCTTGGGGGGGGGGGGGAAGTACTCCCTCAGGGTGACTCCCCATAATGGCATATACAGGGAGGCTCTGCCTGAAAGGGGTACCTTTTTCAGGCTTCAGGTGTATAAAAGGGTAGTGATTTCACTATACAGTTGAAGTATATTAAAGGGAAGGGAAATCTGTCATCTTGGTCTGTAAAAAGGCCCAACAGGGCTAACAGATGCATTCTATGGCTGCAAAAATATCTATAAAATGTTCTGGTTTTGTGGTTTATTTATTTTTCAAAGACATTGCATTTACAGCAGTCAAAAGAGTTGCATAGCTCTAAACTAGGTATGTGAAAGGGGTACCATTTCTCAATAGGAGGTATACAAAAGGGGTACCTTTTCCATCAAAAATTGGTATATAAAAGGGTAAGGGTTGGACCATGGGGGGGAACCTCCCCGAATCTTGAGTACTCCTCCCCCCCTTCGCCATTTTGTAACACAAGTTAAAAAAAAATTTCCATAACACAGAATACCATAAAGTTTAAAATATGTATTTGTACTTATCTAAAAATGTGTGCTTTCCCTATATTTATTTGTCTGTTACAATTCATCTTCTTTTTCACATATTGTTTGGGTCATTCAAAAATGCCTCAAGGCCATTCATTTTCCCCTTCCCCCTGGGCATAAGCAGATGTCCTAATATTTAACAATGGATTTCTTTTTGAGCTTCAATGGATTGGGATATTGTGGGTTTTCTATGACACCTTTACCAAACTTAAATTCTAGAAACTCTCGAACATGATTGGGGGCTGAGGCTTTAATCCCGACGAAGTCAATGGTCTCTAGAGGCTTGAGATAACTAGCTGGAAATTCCCTGTCTTGTCTGTGTGTTTTGAACCATGTTCTTTTAGTCATCACACCATCTTTTTCAAAAAATGGAAAAATATCCACGTGCAAATGGTTGTATTGACTGTATTGGATTCTGTAAAAATCTCCTTCCTTGGCTTTCTCCCAAGTATAACCTTTGTCATCAATAAACTTTGTCCCACTGTTTGAGTGTTTTTCTGCTTCAGCAAGATAAGAACACTTGCTAATCTCGTGCTGAAAAATTCCAATGTCCACATCATAATCCCATGGAATAATATCACCGTAACGAGCAGCACCCAGTAAGCTCCCTCCCTCTAACCAGTAGCGCACGCCTGCCGTGTTTAGAATATCAAAGAGATAATGAGCAGTCTCCCTTAGGTGGTTAAGACAACAAGGAGGTGTCCATCTTGACATGTACAAATATTCTGGCATGTCATCATAAACAGTGCCAAAGCATCGTCCTGTGTCCTTTGCACAGCCATACCAACTGACCTGTCCAGAAGGATGAGCAACTTTCTTCACTCCAAGTTTAAGGTACATCTCATTTGTTCTTGTTTTTACATTGTTTTCAAACTTCCAAGCCGTGTGAGCATTGGTAAATAATTTAAACCCTGGTGAGAAAGACATCTTATGGAGAAGTTTTGTTTTGATGTGGTGCAATGATGCTTGTATAAATACACTTTCGGGAAAGGGCCGCATGTATGGTGCACTAAGACTATGAAGAAATGCCGTTTTCAACAAAATCACTTGACTTGGACTTACAGAATCGCATGTTCTGTAATAGCTCTCTGCTTCTTCCTCAGAAACCGAATATTCTAAAGTCCAGCGCTTGACATCAAAAGCAAGGTTGTTGCACTGAATGGCCATCCTTGTCTTAACTGGCACAGCAACAACTTTTACTTGTGGCTTGATGCTTGCCATGGCCTTTAATTCAGAAAGCATCATAACTGGCAAGCTTGTGGAGTCAAATCGGACACTGTCTGGCACAAACATGACGTATTGTGTAGTAATATAATTCTCTGGCCTTCCAGAAGATTGCTTCTGATCGGGTTGTATTTCCTGTACAACCAACTGAATTTTGCCATTAGGTAATTCTAAAGGGGGGTAAGGTCTTTTTCGTGATATCACTACAACATGGATATTTGGGAAGTGATCCAAGATGGAGCGAATTGTACGTGGAAGGTCATTCTCGAATTCTTCGAATTCAAGGAACACAACTGTCACTTCACTTTCAAATTGTCTGCTTGGCTCCGCGGCATTCTTTGTCTTGCCGAAGGCAATTTTCTGCTTAATAGCAGCTAATCGGCTTTGTTCGAACCACTCCCCGTTGATGTTTTGCACATGAGACACGTAAAAAAGGATCAAGCAGTTGCAGATTATTGCACATACCAACACAACTTGACACTTCGTTATTGGCATCGATCGTTGAATCGTGTCTCGCTGAGTTTTGGCACAAATATCACGCATCAAAGGCCCACAACCTATTACACATAAATACTACAGGTACAGTAAACACGACTTTCTATAAATATTGATTGCATTCAACCCATACAAAACCCAAACAATATTTCTGAATGTTTTCCTTCATGTTCACCCGCGAACAAATGACGTAAAAACGACAAGGCGTTACTTGTGGAAACAGGGAGATTGAGCTCTAGTTTTTAGGCCCTCGCGTTCAGCTTAGTCAACCAATCAGAATATGTTTTGCCATTTGAAATCTCAAGTTGTCTGATCTTTACCGATCAAACATTCGAACGTTACGATCGACAGATTTTCGATTTTGGCAGGGAACGTCCGAAATAATTTGCAGATTTGTCAAGAATACATTTATTTTTTGTATTAAGTGTTTGAGATTCAAAATGGAAGTGGCTTTCGATGTTAATGAGCTTGAAGGTATGAAACGCGCCGAGCTTCAAAAGCTTTGCAAAAGCGTTGGAATCAAGGCCAACATGAAGGTATGCGATTCTTGTACACAAAGCAAAGACCAGTCAGTTGTTGTATATAGCGCATGGATTGCGTTAAAACAAAGAATGTGCTAGTTAACTTTGTGTGAGAAGTCCTTAGAATGTGTTATAAATTCCTATCACCTATGGCTTGCTCCAGAAAAGAATGCTTTTCTGCGCGTGACAATTGAGTACATTTTTAATTTTATTGTAATGGTTTGTATATAGTTAGCTACCCTGCGAGCAGAGGCCTTTCGATCTTCCTAGATAAGTCGGGAAGAGGAAGATCGAAAGGCCTCTGCTCGCAAGGTAGTAGTCAGCGAACTTTTGGATGCATTTACCGGTTATTATTGTTACATTTCCTATATATCATTGGTAGCCTGCGAAAACATCCGTTACGTCCCCAGCGGCGAAGAGCGAGGAGAAACGGATGTTTTCGCGGGCTATATATATGGAAGTGTATAAGAAAAGTTTTTGCGTTATCAGGCAGGTTAGAACTGATATCACAAAAGAATTTTCAGAGTTCTCATTGATATGAACAGTCTGTTTTAAGTTAAGAAGGCAAGTTTAGGTGACAGAGAATTTTAAAGAAGCTGAATCCATCTCAAATTGGAAACCAAGACTAACATGATTTTCGTTCTCCTTATTTTGAAGTGCTTTTAATATCATAACAGATGTGAAACACTTTGAACTTGACAATATGTATCTATGTTGTTAATGTAGCTTGCCAGCTTTACTCACTGGAGGTTTAATACTGTTTTAATTCAGTGATGCATAATGCAGTTTTAAACTGTGGTTCTGTTCTGGTATGTTGTTGAATTGTCTTTTCCCATATTTTTTTTAATCTTAGAATGGACAGCTTATTGATGCACTTAGAAAACATGCAGCCCAGTTCTCTCGTAAAAGAAAAAGGTATTTTTTATTGTGAATGGTTTGAACACTTGGTATCCGTTTCCATGTAATGCCATGGTGTACATTTCGTATGCATACATGTTTCCACTCTATTCATATCAACTATTTTAGTGAAATAGTATGAAATTGCTGCATGCATAATAAATGTATAGGGCTATCCAGAAATCTTACAAAACACTCTAGCAAAACATTTCTCCACATAAATGATATTATAAAATATTAGAATAAATTAATTATAGTAAGTATTTATTTTTACAACTAAGGAAAGATCCTATCTTAAAATCTCTCATATCATCTTCTTAGATCATCTGTTGCTGAGAAAACCCAGAACACTTCTTGCACAGTTGTTAATAAAGAAGAGGAAACGGATAAGCAACCAGTTGTTGATGACAATGATAGTTATAAAAAACAACTTATGGATCAACTTGATAAGAAGGTTGAGGAAAAAAGTAAGTACAGGCCTTATCATTAATTTTGAAGAACTTTTTCCGTCCATTAAAATAATTTGATTGATGAATAGAAATAAAAAGTGGACCCAACCAATCAATTTGTTTATTTTTTCAATCTTATTTAGTGCCAACTGAGTGTAAAATTCCCAGGTTTGTCCAGTTTGCCAACAAAGTCAAATCTGCCCAAGAAACCAATAAAACACCAGGTAAGTCAGTTTCTCTGAAGGCCTGTTGTGTTAAAGTTGCGTACAAAAGACTGGTATTTTAGTTAGATTCTTGATAACATTAATTCTATCCTATGAAGATCTGATAATCATTTTCCTCTTTGTTCTTCTAGCTACAAAGTGGAGCAAAATTCACAATTCACAGTTTGAAAAGTGAGTATGTGATTTTTATGTTTTTAAAAGGATAAGTGTAAACTAATGCCTTAACAATATTTAATGTAAAAAAAAATTTGAAATTAATTGTGTATTCAGTGATACCAACCAGGTTTATGCAGTCATCTATAGACAATCTAGTTAGTATTAACTACAGGTTTGAAAAGATACACTCCTTTTGAAGCAGCTGTTAATGAAACCAGTGTTCTCCTTATCAGGCGGCAACCAGCAAAATCTATCACTTGAAGCAACACTTCTTAACAACTGCTGCGCGTTTACCAATAATTGAAAAGCGACTGATTTGTATTATACATGAATATATTTTTGATTTTTGTTACTAGGATGGACTCTATTGATGTCTATTTGGAGAAAAAGAGGAAAAGAGTGGAAATGTTTAACCAGTCAGCCAAGAGAGCAAAGGTAATCAGGATTATCCTATGATTTTTGATACAAAGTGAAGATTAATGTTAGTACAAATAATATCAGACAGGCAGTGATTTTGTTGTCTTTGCATCCGACGTCCCTGACGCATAAAAACCCCCAAAGACACAAAACAAAAATATAATTCATAGCATGCCTGCATCCCGTAGGACACAAAGATTGATTGATTGTTCTCAACTTGTGTTTTTGTAGAAATCTCCCGTTTGTGTAATTTCTGTGGAAGTTATTATGGCTGTTGTTTAATGTTGCATTTTTCTTTTAGCCTTTGTTCTTTAAAATAGACAGATTATACTTTAATTTTAGTATACTGTAAAACAGAGTTTTGGAGTCTGTCTTCAGATTAACTGTCTGGTTACATTCAAGGCCCAACAATTTCAATTTTGGACTTGTTTTTTTTTTAACTGGTTCTTGCCTGGGACTCATGATTTTTCTCAAGATGAGTCCCAGAGCTCACTATTACCATTTGAAACAAAATCGCTGGACAGGGCTCGAAAAAGTCCCATCTGGTGGTCCACGACATGCACATTTTCTTTCTGAGCAAGTAACTTTTTAAGCTAACCAAATTGTTAAGATAAGATAAGCATTCATTTTATTTCTTGCAGTCCATAGGAGTCAGCAGAAAAAGTGGAGGCAAAGCCTCAGCGGATGCGAGCTTCACGCCCTCTGTTACAACTCTTGATAAATCAAAAGCCTTTGTATTTGGATCTCCTGCGGCAAAGCCATTTTTCCAACCATCAGACAAGAAAGTTATAAATGAAACAGCAAGCACTGCTAGCCAAAAAATACTCAAGTTAAAGTCCCCTAAAATCTTCAAGCCCTTCTTACCTTCGTCTGCCATGGCAAGCACAAAACCACCAAAGACTCCAAATACCCGCAGGACCATTACCGTGGTAACAGCTTTGGAAAATAAACCAAAGACACCAGGAAATTCTGCTCGCAAGTCAACGGGGGTAACACCATTCAGGTTAGCAAACAAAAATTTAGAATTTCCAAAAGATATTTGAAACTTTGCAACAATATTCTCTTGGTATCCACTGTTTGTGACAGGATTGTTGGTATACATGTACGTTACTTAAGAAAATTCCAGACACAGAATTAATCCTGGCTTTCACTCCCAAAGTAGCCAAAGTAAAAGTTTGAAGAAAATTCCAGTTTTCTTGCAAAATGCTGCAAAACAAATACAGTCGACTCTCTCTTAACGGACACCTCTGTAAAACAGACACCTAGACTTGGTCCCTGCCTTTCTTTCCTCCCTCTATTTGACTCTCTATAAGATGGACATCTCTCTAAGACAGACAGCTAGTGCCAGTCTCAAAGGTGTCCGTCTTAGAGAGAGTTGACTGTAGCAGGGCTCGACGTTGCGACCTGTGGGGTCGCCAAGCTGGCCACCAAGATAGGTGACTTTCTTCTTTGGGTAAACGTACACTAATGATAATCTGTTATCCTTTACAAAACTAACGGATAGCTAACGGTTTTGCTAATGCTCTAACGTTTTGCCCAAACGCTCTAACGGTTTGTCTAAACATTTTAACGATTTGTCTAAACGCTTTAACGATTTCTTTCAACACTCTAATCTACGTTTACTTGAAAGAGGATTGTGAAATGAATGAATTCGACGAAAGACTTATCGACTTTCGGGCAAATCGATCGCAATTCTCAACAGATCGTCCCGTGTTTCTCCGGGAATGACTTTTAGCGCATCGATATTTAAAACAATTTCTTTTTGCCCAACATGTATCTCGATTGCGGACTCGATAGCAGATTAGTCTGATAAAAGCTAAAGCTAATCGAAGCTAATCGAGAACGAACAGCGCTTACTCGAACTTCGCAATTCTTGTAAACAACTTTACGCAAATTTCTGTTAAGGGTGGCGACCCAAATAAAAGCTCTGAAGTATTTTATTGACTTCTAATGAAGTACCGTTGAACTCATGCTGTTTGTCTAACAGACTTCTCGCGAAATCAACTTCATTGCCCGAAAACATTAGCGACGTTTCCTCTTTCTGGAGACTTTCGATCACGTGTTAGGCAACCGCCAAATAGATGAAGTTTCACCGATGTTCATTTCTGAAAGTGCAAATACATGGGACGCAAAACAAATTTTGCAGATTTTGTTCTTTAATATCCCAAATAAGTTTTTTTAAGATTCCTTAAGTTTGTTTTTCTTAATGTGTATTCCATTTCCTGAACCTTAAGCTTGAATACCTTATAATATATAATTTTTGGGGACCAGAATACTTGTTCTGGCGACCAAAAATGAAAACATGGGGGCCTGTTGGCTCCAAGATTTTTTTCTGAAAGTCGAGCACTGTGTAGTACCATGTGAAAGGACTGCTCAGAAGCTTCCATTTGAATGGTCTCAGACTACTGTCGCAAGATGTGAAATTCAATTTGTCAGGGATGTCAGCAGCCAAAGGGGATTTTATACTACAAATTAAAGAGGGTATATTATTGCCCAGGAAATCTGTCTTTTTTGAGGAATTTTATTTGACATAATATTTTGCCATTAACAGATTTTTGCCTGCAAATGTGCCAGCCACCCCAACTCCAACCCCTAAGAAGAAGTTTGATCTCAAAGCTAGCCTGGCGAAACCACTTCCTTACAAGCCTCACACAGGAAAACTGAAACCCTTGTCAACTTATAAAGAGGAGTGTAGACCAACTCTCACTGACGCAAAGTTGAAAAGTCGTAGAGTGGACGTCAAATCTACAAAGGTCACCTCAAGGTAACAAAATACGTGACAGTCATATTTTAAGTATTTCCTATGGCAGCAACATTGACAAATCTATCTAATGGCAATAAATTTTAAAAGTTTGATAAATTAAATTTTTTTAAAGCGTTCTCATAAACTTTTGTGTCCCAAGTGTGATCATGGCTTCTGCAGCCAAATTTCTGACCATTATTTTGTAAATGTCAGAACAAACAGTCAATGAGTGTTAGTTTGGCCTGGGTTTCAGGTGGCAACCTCAAGCAGTCTAGACTGTGCTTATCCAGTAATCTGGCTAACATGGCAGTGGTTCTTTCTGATCATTATTGAACTTCAAAACAGGATGGGAGACGAAAGAAGATGGCAAACCAAGTGTGACAATACTGCACCTTCCTTTAAACAGATCTTTTAGTAAAATATCTAGACAAAAGATGCAAGTAATAGCCCTGTCACATTTGCCACACTCAAACTTTTGTCGTCCTCTTCTTCATACTGTCCTGTTGCATAAACTCAGTGGTATCTCTAAACCTGCAACCTTAGACTACATTTTGTTATAAACTGGGTATTTATTTGTTATATCTATTTTTTTCCTCAGGGAACAACGTCGCATGAAAGAAAACAAAAGCAGAGAAAGCAGAAAGGCAAATGCGTTAAGCAGACGAAGAGGACTTGCTTGTTAATTAAACTAAGTTTGTAGATCTATGCAACACATTGCTAATACTAACAGTATTTGTTTGAAATTATGATCAAAGAAATTTTAATTTCCAAGATTTTTTACAAAAAGGTACTTTTCAGCCAGTTAGGTTACTGGTGTATAGGGGTATTTTAGGGTTCGTTCATAGTCCGTTCAGTCCTAGTTCCTGGTAAAAAGGGTTTTTAACCCATTCGCTCCTGGAGATTTTGCCGAAAAACGCATTTTGAAGCTAGGTGAGTGGTTTTCTGGTCACTGTCGTGCTATAAAGAGCTAAAACTTACCACAAACCGGTTTACAGGTCGTACACTTCATGGCCTTCTGATCCAGATGCAAACTATCAGCTTGCGAAGTTTGGGCATGCGCAGAAAGCAAAATTTCGACATAGTTTTTGGGTTTAAAAGTGACACAGCAGTCTTGCCTTTTACTTTTCGCCTCCTCTCCTCCTCTTTTTTTTTACTTTTCTTACCTGATTTTTTTTTCCTCTTGCTGGGCATTTAGTAGGCTTCATTTTGGTGGGAATAGTTTTTAGGAAAGCTTTTAGGATCTTAGGATTAGGTGAAAGGAAAGGTAGGTGGGCAATGGAAAAGATTTTCATGGAGATTTTCAGGTCAATGTTACATGGTTTTTTGCCTCTTTCTCCGGTGTCCTTGACTGAATTGTGCTCATTCTGGTGTGGTTTGAAAGATCTCTTCACTCTGCACAAGTTAGCGGACAAAGTTGTCCTTGACCGTTACAAATGATGACGTCACAAAGGGTAGAAAGGATGTGGATCCGCACAGGCGGTTCAGGGGCGAATGGGTTAAGAAGGCTTTCTATAGAAGAATAATACTGCTTTATGCCTCATAAAACTAAGAGTTTCTTATCATTGTTATTATGATCATTATTACACACACTATAACGAACTGAATGTTACTTGAATGTGATACTTTTATTTGAAAGAGTGCTGACAGTCAAGCTTTTAGTTCATAGCCCTCATAATTTTGAAAGCTACTGAGTAGTAATATTACAAGTATGAAAAAAGATTAACTCAAAGACTGCCTTTTTGGGTCGTAAGGAACTCAACTGCATTTACTAAATGTACAGTTTAAAAAAAGTAGTACTATTTATATCCTTGGTAACAGATCTGTAAATATTGTTTTGTTTTAAAAGTTGTGGTAACTAACAGTCCAGTTAATGTAAATAAATACACACACACAAAAAAACTATTGACTTCCCATATTTTTTAAAATGCAAGAGGTACTAATTCTGTGGTTTAGCAAATTGTGCTTTTCTTTTGTCCCTTGTGCTTTTGGTGATCATGCTTCACTAATGATCATTAGAGTTGTGGGAAAGAAACTACTGTATTTATTCATTTAACCGCCCTGGGCGCTTATTAAAATTTTGGACTTTGAGAGTGGGCGCTTATTAGATTTTCACCATTTTCAGCAAGTGTAATGTTTATTTTGCAACAAACCAATAAACGTTATCTAACAAAACACAAAGATCTAACAAAGCAAGGTTTCTGTAAACTACTCTGAAGAAAACTCCGTCTTCAGGGAAGTCTCTTTTATTAGAACTTATTCAACTTCTATTTTAATCTCATTATCACTCAAGTGGGGGGGGTGGGCGCTCATTCTAGGCTGGACACTTATTAAGTTTTTCTGCCTTTAGGATGGGTGCTTATTCAAGGTGTAGATAATTTGAGTTTGGGTGCTTTATCAAATAAAATACAGTAGCCTCTAAATGACTTTTGATCTAGTTTGAAATTCACCATTTCTTTTACAAGCACATACTAGCCAGTTTGAAAGGAGAATCTAGAAACTGATGATAAATCACTTGGCCATATTTATTCCTAGCACTCGCCTCAAGTTTTTTAAACAGGCTTGTTAGAGACTTCACTGACATTCAAGCAGAAAAGCTAATGTTTCACTAAAGGTGATAACAGAGAGAGAAAGTGTGTCAATGCATTTTGTTAGAAAAAAAGGTTTTCGAGAAAAAACTCAGAAGCCAAATGTTGTACTGAAAAGTTTGAAAAGGCTTCAAGCAAGTTATCTCCCAACCACCTTCCCCTCAAGCTTAGCCTGCAAAAACATCCATTTCTCCACGCTCTTCGCCACTGGGGACCTTTTGCGCTGAGTCGCAGACATTCCTCCGTGCGAAACGTCCCCAGTGGCGAAGAGCGAGGAGAAATGGATGTTTTCACAGGCTACCTCAAGCTGAGCTGTTAGATGAATACAAGCAATTGAGGGGCTTTAATCTTGCCCTTCCTCCAAATTCTCACTTTTTTCCTGCAAAATATATATACATCAAGTGGTACTGAGAATAATGACACTGACATTAATCCACCTTTTAAATTTTTGGCAGAAGGAACAGCTGAAGTGGGCAACCATTCAACAGGACCACTGAAACTGTGATGTTGTCACGGCTGCCTGCCAAGATGGCACCCTCCACCAGTCTTTCACTAAGTGCTTTTGCCAGTGCACAAGCCTTCTCACTCCTGAATAGCTTAGAACCTCTGGAAATGTGTGACAGGGAGTCAGAAGGTGGCAACAATCCGGGGGATTTTGCACAATGTCTGCTTTCATCCAACTTTATGTCAATTTCTAAACGAGTACCAGTAAGATGATGTCTTTGTTCCTCAGTCAGGTTTTCCTCATCAGGTACATGCTCCCCTTCACCTTCTGATTTCTCTACATTTATACTACTGGAAACCACTGCAATACCCTTGTCCCCCTCGTTAGCCACGCCCCTGTCCCGTCTGGGAATTTCATCCCATTTTGGAACAGGCAACCCAACCTCAAGAGCAGATGCCCTCTCTTGCATTCTTTTCACAATAGCTTTGACATCAATATCCGGTATTATATCTTCCAAGAGAAGAATGACCTCTTCTTCACTCAAAACCTCCCAGACACCATTAGAAGCAAGGATGAGAAACTGATCTGATTCTTCCAAAGTTAGACAATTTACAGCAGGAGTCTTAATGACACTGGTCTTTAAATTCGGATCTCCGTGATTTCCTAGGCCTCGAGTGCTTTTCAATACTCCGTTGACCAAGGCCGTTTTATCGCTTTTAGAGATGTCTCCTTTCGCTTTCCTAACCCGGTGCCTTTCCTTCTTATCCTTGGGACAGTGGTTGGTTGACAACCGTTCAATAGACCCATCCCCGCGGCACAACACCGCTCTAATATTCCCCGCGTTCGCAACGTACAAGTTATTTCCTCGTAGTAAGCAAGTAAGCGCCGAACACCCGCTCCAACGATTGCGCGAATGCTCCTCAACGCCATAGAGTAAAATTCTATCCATTTCATCAAAAGCATCTTTGAAAGCCGTCACAATTTCCGCATTGACAGTTTCACGTATCATGTTGGTGTTGTAAATTGCCTCCACTTTTCGCTCCACGATTTCACCCAGGTAGCGCGCGCATTTCTCTGCAGCCATAGTTCCAGAATACCCGTCATAAACAGCAAAAAATCCACTCTGTGGATCGTTGCAGAAGCAGTCTTTAAACGCATATCGATCTTCCATTGATGTTTTCCAACGCGCGTTCTCGTATTGGCAAACGCCAAACGCAAGTGCGCAGTTCAACGGCGTTCCGTGTCCCTGCAAGGTCGGTTGAATTTGAAAATATTCATCCAACATTCGAAGAGTCGTACTTGTGCCTTCGATGTCGGCTTTAAGAAGCTCGTAGGCGAGATTAAGCTTCTGAAGTTTCTTCATCGAAACTGGATTCTCGGAGTTCGCTGCTTCGTTCAAGCGCTTCATGATAGCTCGCCTTCGTTTGACCAGCTGTTTCACGCTCGAAGGCTTTCTTTCCATGCTAAATCGAAACATTTCCAGTGCGCTGTGGAATTCTTGATGCTCTTTCAACTGTCGAACCTTTATTTCTTCCTCGCATTTCATACAGACAATGGTGATTTCGGGCTTCATCATCGGATTAATTGTTTTTATCGGTGGAAAGTGCACGTCCGATCTCTTTTCTTCAGGCGGAGAATCTTTCAACGTCAAATTAAACTCTTCCTTTGTCCAGGGGTCTTGCATGGTTAAAAGGTGTCTAACTAAATTCAATCACCCACAAAACTTTACGACCACAAAGCCATGCACAGTCGAAAAGAACGTTTCCTGGCTGGCTGTCTTCTTTCCCGAATAAAATTTTAATTCTGCAATTATTAACGTTGCTATGGTAACCTTAGAATGATGTAGCCGAATGTTATACTTGTAGCAAATCACGCATCGTTTTGTAATTTTAACAGATAATTTCAGTGGTTTCACCCCTTCCTTTTTTCATTCTTTTTTTAAACATCCACTTTTAGCTTAACTAATTTCAAACTCTGCAGATACCACAATTTCAAAAATCATTGTAAGTAACACAACGTCTGCGTGACAGGACAACAATTACTGTTAATTTACAAGCCTAATTAATTAAATGAAAGAATTTGAAAACACTAAATGCATAAAAAATAAAACATAGCAGAAAAACTCAATAAAATAACTAAATATCAAAGAACAGTGAAAAAAGTAAAATACCAATACAAACCTAAAAAATAATTTTTTGGAAAAAAAGCAGGATCGGGAAATAATGAGAAATTTCGCAAAAGAAGAAAACCAGCAACAGCAACAATTCTATGGCGCTATTGGACCACCCTCTAGCTTGCAGTCGACGACAAAGACTTTCTCAAAATAATCCTTCGCTTCTCATTTCCGGTTCCACATGGCCTGCGTACCAAGCGTTTCCGTGTAGTTTGGAGCAAAGAACGAGGAACGCGTGAAAAATGGCGCAAGTGAAAGAGCGGGGAAGGGGTGGTGAAGGTGTTTCCTTCCTTCCCCCCTCCCCCTCTGTTGTTTTTTCGCTCTAAATTCATTTCTCGCGCGGCCAAGTAGCAACAGCAAGTAGCAAGTAGTCTGCTACACAGCCGTTTTTAGTGTCGTCACGCAACGCTACTCCCCACTAAAAGAAGCGTTGCGTGACGACACTAAAAACGGCTGTGTAGCAGGCTAAGTAGCAAGCGTTACGCTTGCAGCGCAGGCTGGGTTCCGCAGAAAACATAAAAAAAGTCGCCCGCTTGCGGTTCGCTTCGAGAAACATTTTTGAGTTCGACTTGTGCTTGTGCTTGTTCGACTTGTGCTTGTGCTTGTGCTTGTGGGCAAGTCTATAGACGACATCGACCACGAATATTTCGTTCAGGAAGCTGGGCGCTCTTTATACTCTTAAAACCTGATTCGTTGGTATTATAATGGTTCAAACGTCAAACTTTTAATGTTCTGAATGCCCCGTGATGAGTTTGGGAAGCCTATGCATACTGAACACGAAAAAATTTTCGCTAGCTGGCGTGGCTAGGCTAGTCTAGAGGCCTTTGGGATTGGCGGAGGAGAAGGGAAACAGTAACAGGAGTCCATATCATGGATTTTATTGAGTATTAGATTATTTTTTTACTGACTATTAGACAAGTAATTGTAGTTAGGTGTCTTCAAGTAGTGTACATTGTATGCTATCGACTTTGACACTATAATAAAGTTTTTACTTACTTACTTACTTTTTTTAATAGTAAGTAAGAAATACGTTAGGAACGCGAACGCAACCCAACAATCGTTACCAACTGGAATCCCGGATGTTACGTGGTGATTCACCCGGTGTGACAGGGATAGTGTATCCTCGTGATATGAACGTGGATATTACGACACCTGGATGCAACAGCACTCAATCATTGCAAAGTCAGCAAACAATTGCAGATATTTATATACATCGTCGCTTCTTAAGAGTCGTTAGAAAGCAAATACTTGAACGAAAAACGTACGGCGCACGCTACTTCATGGCTACAGGAATTTTCTCTCCACTGATCACCAGAATTCGGCGAAGGATTGAACGCGTTGAGGGAATTAACCTGTCGGAAAACTACACCAGACTAGAGCTTCGCGAGGATTTTTCCGAAATAACTATACATAACACAAATCCTGCAGAAAATGCAGATTATTTAGAAGTATCATCTAAAGATGGCAACGTTAATGCTGTTGGCGTAGAGACGGCAAATGGCCATTCAACTTCGGCGGAGAACGAAAATTTTGTCATTAAAGACCGCACAAGCAATTCCAAGACAAAAACGATCGCCTTTCTGGGAATTGCTTTAACCATAGTAGCGTCTTTATTATTTTCTGCAAACTCTCTACTGATTAAACTAGCCGAGAGCATCCCAAGTTTGGAGGTGGGATTCATGCGTCTGGCATTAGGCTTTGTGTTTTCACTGCCAGTGGTGATATTTTTCAATGATAAACTTATCCATCCATGGAAAAAGGTCAGCTTTTTACTTCTGCGAGGAACAATTGGTGCCACGGGGATGAATTTAAATATTTTCGCCGTAAAGCATATGCCTTTAGCTGATGCAAGAGTTATCATTTTTACCTCACCTGTGTTTACAGTTCTTCTTGGGCGCATTTTCCTCAAGGAAAAAGTGACCAAGTTTGATGTGATGGCTATGGTGCTGAGTTTAGGAGGGGTGGTCTTGATTGGGAGACCTTCATTCCTGTTCGGGTCAATAGGCAAAAGTTCTAGCTCGAAACAAGTCTGGTTGCCCACTATTTTGGCCCTTTGTGGGGCATGTAGTCAAGCGTTAGGCATTATCATGACACGCAAGATATCTCAAGAGTTGCCTGCTAGAGTGGTAGTGTTTTATTCAGGATTAGCTGGAACTGTGATTAGTCTATCAGCCTCATTGATATTTGGCGGATATAAGTACCCCGACTGTGGAACCTACGACACCTTTTACATCATGGGCTCTGCATCTGTTGGCTATATTGCACAGTTAATTGTGACAAAAGCCTTGAGTATGGAGAAAGCCTCTGTTGTTTCCCTTGTGCGGACTGTTGGAATTGCTTTCTCATTTATCTTGCAGTTGACTGTACTCCATGTTGCTCCAAATGGGCTGAGCATTGGTGGAGCTTTTCTTGTGCTCCTTTGTAATGTTGCTATTTTCCTCAAAAAGTATTTGGATCAGAAAAAGAAGGTCAACCAGTCTTAGTTACGGGAATCAGATGGCTGTTTTTAACCTTTAAGTCCCAATAGTGACCAACATAAATTTTCTCCTAACAATATCCATACACTGTCAAGAGATAAAGTTATGAGAATTAATAAAATGATCACCATAGAGAAAATTCCATGATCTTTTATCGAATTCTCTCAACTAATTCTTAAAGGAGATGTATGGAAATCAGTGTGGAGAATTTGTATGTGGATATTGGGGCTTAAAGGGTTAAATAACCAGGGAGCTTGCAGTTTGAATGAAGACTACAATAATTGTAGCATAAATTATTTATTGAACCTCTCCAGAGTGGCCACCTTGGGCATAGAAGAAAGTGACCATTAAAAGAGATGGCCTTTGTATAGTTGTCTAAACAAGAGTCCAACAGCTGGGACAAAAAAAGTAGCCAAAGTAGAGAGATGGCCGTTGGTGGAAATTTAACTTTATTCACCTTACACCCTAGCTAAAGTAGCTAGGCAAGACTCAGGGAGATTTGTGGCCAATCTTTTTTTTGATTTTCAAAAATCAGAAAGCTAACAAATACTTCCTGATTTTTAGAAAACTGAATTCAGAAATTCGGTTTCAGAAAGAGGAAATAAAAAACTGAAACCCAAAATCACAAACTATAAATCAGAAATCATAAACCAAACAACTGATGTCCAAAATTCCCCCACTGCTGGGGTACGCTTTTGTACATGCGGTTATCCAGAAGTAATACAATGAGAGATGTATACGACATGCAGTTCACACCAGCAGGTTTGAATTGACTGGTAGGGGAATTCTGAATAGTTCAGTAGGGGCCTATTTGCATCAGTGCAGAAAATAAAGTTGTCTCTAAAAATTTCATGCAAAAAGATTTTGCTGGTTAATTTTTGTAGTAGAAACAGTTGGGCTATCTCCAGTGATCATAGCAAATCAGAGGCCCATAAGTGGAGCAAAGGAAACCGTCCCTCCCAACACCTTCAGCGAATTTTGCGGCATGCACCAAGCTAGGTTGTTGTAGCTCATTAGTTTAATGGCATTTTAGCTAGTGTAGTTTGATTATCTTTCTAGTGCGAGTGGGCTGCCTGTGGTTGACCTCATGTATATTATAATTTTGATAAAAGACATCCTCGGAGACCCAGGGGCAGTCAGTCGGGTCGGGAGAAAAGGCGCGACGAAAGTTTTCAAGCACAGGCGGAAGAGCCCCTGGGTACCGACTCTCACCGGACCATTTCCAAACGGTCAAGTGAATGCTGGCTCCTGATTGGGCACAAAAAATGCTTTGTATTATTGTGCCCAATCGGCGAACAGTTTCTCGTGAGTTCTTTTCGTGAGTTCGTACACGATTGGTATTATGTCGCCACAGTTGCCCGGTTCGTTCACCAAGCTTGTGCGTACAAGGGAAACTTCCATTTTCTACTTTCCTAACCAGAAACGAAGGACCTACCGATGAGTCGAAAAACGTTTCGGATGCTATCAGCAGGAACAATTCATTTTGTACTGAGAAAATTCTGTTTCTGACAGATCACAATGTATCGTAAATAATCAGATAATAGGAAGTTTAAGATGCGGCGGCGACGAGATAATAAAAAAGCAATAGCTTGACAAGGCAAAACAACAACTTTGCACGTGCATTACGCATTTTGCAGATTTCTTTGCCGTCACTGCACGACTACCACGTGAAGATGCCTAATTTCAGGTTTTGTGAACGAGGTAAACAAACAATGACAAAATTTTCTTTCTCTTTATGAACTTGGATATGGTTGATAGAAAATCAGCTCCAGAAGAGTTCGCTTGCATTTGACAAAGTAAGCGAGTTGGGATAATCACGATAGAGACTGGAAAAATGTGAATTCACTTTTCATGCGACGTTTTCGTGGCTGTCAGCTGTCGTGGAATCTTAAACTCCTTAAGATTTACGAAGGCATAATCGATGCAAGTGTGAATACCTGTTGTAAGCTCAAGCTTGTATTTTTGCAAAAGCGTCTTTAGTTTTCGGGTAGACAGTGGTAGTCTTTACACTAGAGCCTAAATAAGCTAAGAAATATTTCAAGACAAGTAAATTTTAATTACTTCAAGTAAAATAAAGCTTCACACACAACCGATTCTTTTTTACTTCTGGTTATTTTCCCACGCAACAAAATTAAGATTGATTGACATGTCTCGCCTTTCTCAAAGCTCAAGAAACCGCAAAACCGCAAGTCAGCTAAGTAAGTCATAAGGATGGTTTTCAAGTCGCTTGAAACTTTCTTGAATCGTTTCAGCTTTCCGACTTTAATGAGATGCAAAGCAAAGTTACTTGAGATTTTACTTAGGCCTTCACACACGAATTTTTGGTTAAGTAAAACTTAGCGGCTCTTAAGTCTTACTTAACAGCCTAGTGTAAAGACAACCAACCAGTATTTTGAAATAAAGTGTTTATATCAAACTGAAAGTTTCCTGACTGCGTGCATTTGTTTGGTGCATGAGCCAGACAAGCCGTGATCGAGTCAATAGCTGTCGCGTCGTGTACGAACTCACGAAAAGAACTCAGGAGATGCTGTTCCCCGATTGGGCACAATATTACAAAGCATTTTTTGTGCCCAATCAGGAGCCAGCATTCACTTGACCGTTTGGAAATGGTCCGGTGAGAGTCGGTACCCAGGGGCTCTTCCGCCTGTGCTTGAAAACTTTCGTCGCGCCTTTTCTCCCGACCCGACTGACTGCCCCTGGGTCTCCGAGGATGGATAAAAGATAGCACCCTTTCATAACTAAAATCATCATATGGTATTGACATAAATGAAATGCACCTTTAAAATTTTTCTTGTTTGAGAAAAGGATGATATGAAATATTATAGAGGCCTTCTTTTTTGGGGGGGAGGGGTATGCATGTCCCTAGTCTGGATTTCAAAAGCGACTGTTTTGTGTATTGAAGAGGAGTGGGGGCAGATCCAGGATTTTTTGATGGGGGGTGGCTGATACCAATTGGCCACCAAACTATACGTGAATTTATTTTGAGTTTTCCTGCATTTGTCCCAAAACATGGGAATTTAGGAAGAGCAAAAGCTGGTTGGCTTCACAAGGTTTTTGTAACCCACGTATTTCTATATTTTTGGGACTACTCACATATTTCCATTTGTTTATCCAAGTATTATATGGAAATATGTTCTAAAGGGGTGTGGCTAGCCACTTAATCCACTCCCCCTGGATCCGCCCCTGAGGAGGCAATGTCGCTGTCAGTATTATACTATTGTATTTGCAATGTTGTTTGTTCCCATTTCAACTGTTTTAATTATGTCGCAGTTTCAAGGCCATCATGTCGCTTGTTGGAATTTTATCCTAACAGGACCTCATTATTTTAAAGAATCCTTATAGTGCATGATGGTAGACCTTAAGAGCTACAAATTTTTTAGAGCTCATCTAAAACAGCGAAACAAGAAAGTTACAAAGTATCAAAATAGCACTTAACATAATTTGATTTAAATTTACTCTAAAATTGTGATGTCGAACAAAGAAGTTTTGGAGGACTTATGAAAAAGGACGTGTGAAAAAGGAGGTGTGAAAAAGGTACCTTCAGGCAGAGCCTCATCATATAGGTCATTATAAAGAGTACCCCCGCCCCTGGCCTGGGTACTGGCACAAAATGGTTTTGCCTTCACGCCTTGGATTCTGAATATGAAACCCAGCGTACATGATTGCCCCATTTAACCTCTTTAGACACCATTTTCATATGGGAGCATGAAAACATAGATATACAATGGAATGGATTGCCTTGGAATTAGAAGTGTGCATGTGGTGACCCAGTGCCCACTTCAGTGTCCAAATAGAAAGGTCTTAGCTTGATTGACGGGCATGAATAAAGACTTCACTTGATTCATTTTTTTATTGTCCAAATAATAGAATCATTCCCCACACAAGCTATTCTTCCTACTATAGTCCTAGCTTGACCTGGCTCTTCTTCTGTCAACAAGATTACAGTTGAGAAGATTTCCATGAATTGGCACTTCCTCCGCACCCCACTCCCACCACCACCTCAGGCAAGCAGAAAATATGTGGCACTCGGGGGGAATATTTTAAACACTCATTGATGCATAACATGGGCAGATTTAGGGGAGGTGAGACTCCAACACCCACCCACCCCCACACACAATTTTTTCTGTGAAATTTTGTATTATTATTAAAGAATTCTAAGTATAATAAACAGTATCTTATAGCTTGCAAGTGTCCTGGCCTCCATTTCTGAATGTTGTGGATCCTCTTCTGCATAAGGAGTATATCACAGCAGTTCTACATATATTCACTTAGTTTTGTTCCCTTTTCTGATTTAAAAATTTTTTGATGAAAATAACCACATTGCAAAGGAGGATAAGAATTGCGCCTCCAATACTCAGTCCATTTGGGATGACGTTTAAAAATATTAACTGGAGGATGAAAGAGAAAACAATTCCAATCGTGCGAACCAATGAAACTACACTGGCTTTTTCTAGTTGACATGCCTTTGTTGACAATAACTGCGCAAAATAGCCGAGCATACCTGAAACAATGGCATAAACAACATCATGAGTTCCACAGTCGGGGTATTTAAATTCTCCAGAAATCAGTGATACCAACAGGCTACTGACAGATCCAACAAGAGCATAATAAAATACCACTACTCTTGTGCTAACTTCCTGGGACATCTTTCTTACCATGATAATTAACTCTGTCCTGAAATCGCAGTCTCTAGAGACTCTTGTTGAAAATAAAATATCTCAACTAATGGATAAAATTACACAGGTCGAAAAATCCTCAAAAGTACAAATCCAATCCTTATCTTCACGTATTA